AATGGGCCCCTACCTCTGCCCTGCAGGTGTCTCCTGTCTCATCCAGATTTGCAGGGATCATCCCATCACCTGGTTCATTTTACAGATAAGGAAATTGAGATGCAACTGAGTGACTTGCCCAGAGCCATACAGCCTGCTGAAACTTCAGCGCTGCCAGGGATTCATTTGAGGATGATTGGCTGGCTTTCGTTTTCACAGCCCCACTGTACCTTTCAGGTTCCTGCCCAGCCCCAAGTGGGAGGCTCTGGCAGCTACTGGCCAGCTCGGCACTCAGGAGCCCGAGCGGTACTGTTGCTGCTCTACCAGGAGCACCTGGTGAGTGTTCAGCTGTGCTGGGAGGTGGGAACCCAGGCAGCGGGGTGGGAAACTCTCAGTGGAGCCTGTTCCAGGAAAGGCAGGCAAAGATCATTCCAGCCACTTGGGCAGGGCAAGGAAGGGCCCTGGTACTGAATTTATCCTGTCTCTTCTGCCTTGCTTTCAGAATCCAAATGGCCATGACTTCTTAACCAAGGAGGAGTTGCTGCAGAGGTGTGCTCAGAAGGCCCCCAGGGTGAGCATAGAGGTCCAGGAGGACAGGCCCCACTGGCTCTGGAGCCCACCAGAGACTTCCCTTGGCAATGAGCAGTGGCAGGGCCCTGGACTATGGGTGGCCTGTGGCCCAAAGCACGGGGAGCATGGACTTGGGGTACAGCGGGAGCTCTCTGAGGGTCTCCTCCCGTTGGCAGGTAGTACCTGGGAGTACTCAATCCTGGCCAGCCCTCCGCTCCCTCCTCCACAGGAACTTGATCCTCAGGACACACCGGCCAGCCAGGTGGGGCCAACTGCAGGGGCTACAGGAGATAGGGATGGGGGAATATGCATGACATTCTTAGCGGAACCGTGCAGTTACCCAGACCTGCTGCTGTGAGGTTAGGGAAGGTGGGCCTTCCCCAGGAGCCCACACTGCTGGAGTACCAGGAGTGTGTGGGACTGTGGCAGCAGGTGGGAGGGAGGAGGTGGTGTCATGATCATTGGAGGAGCAGAGAGTCTTTGTTGAGGAGACAGCATTTGACACATCTTAGGATTTCGCAGGTAGAGACGCAAGGACAGAATTCCAGGGGGGAGGGAACAGCATGAATGAAGACAGGAAAAAGGAAAATTCGTTTATGGCAGACCTGATTAATGGCTCTGGGCAGGTCCTGAGGAAGCTGATCTAAAAGCCAAGAAGACGGGAAGAGAGGAGAGTCGCTGGCCTCACTTTTGCAGGGTTGCCAACTGGGCAGTGAGGCCAGCCTAGCTGGGGGCAGGCAGGACAGCCTGCCGGGTGTGAATGAAGAAGGGAGAGCTGTGTTTGTCCTCTCCACCTCCCAGGTACTCGCTGACCCTGGAGGGTCTGGAGCTGGCCCAGAAGCTGGCCGAGTCAGAAAGCCCGAGCTTACTGAATGTGGGCACTGGGCCCGAGCACCATGGGGAGGAGCCAGCAGCGCCAGAGGCAGCCTCAGCTCAGCTGTGAGGAGGGGAAGGAGCAGGGGGTGAATGGGGGCAGGAGGGTCCGGGAAGTGAGGCCAGCACCTGCCCCTGTCTCCATCACTTACAGCTGAGCTGTGCCCCCCCTTCTGTGGGTTGTAGGGGAACTGCCCTGGCACTGGGGGTTCTGGCCTCAAACACACCCACCCTCCTCCACCCCCAGTGGCGCCAGTGAAGAGGAGTTCCAGCAGCCACCGCTGGAGCTGGGGCCTGGAGAGTACAGGGTGCTGTTGTGTGTGGACATCGGAGAGACCAGGGGGTGAGTGAGGTGGGGTGAGTTGAGGGAGACAATCCAGGATGCTGGAGGTTGGGTGCCAGCCTGCCCTGACCTAAGCCTCCCTCCTTGCAACTTCAGGGCCAGGAACAGGACAGAGCTGCTCCGAGAGCTACAGCGCCTGCATGTGACCCACACGGTGCGCAAGCTGCACGTTGGGGACTTCGTGTGGGTGGCACAGGAGACCAGGCCCAGAAACCTAGGTAAAGGGCTGTGGATGGGCAGGCATCAGAGGAAGGGCTTGGCGAGTGGAGGGACACAAGCCAATGGAACTCTTCTTGGCTTCTCGGCAGCGAAACCTGGGGAGTTAGTCCTGAACCATATCGTGGAGCGCAAGCGGCTGGACGACCTGTGTAGCAGCATCATTGATGGCCGATTCCGGGAGCAGAAGGTTCCTTCACTGGCCTTCTTATGCTTCCTGCTCATTGCGTGCGCTAAGGCCCCTTCCCAGCCCAGGGAAATCCAGGGGCATCTCTGGTGGCCTCCTCAAGACACAGTCCCCATGAACTCCAGCCACACCCCGACTAGGGCTGGCCTAGGCAGCCTCAGTATGAGACCCCTGCAGGCCCATCCAGGCACACAGTAGGTACGCAGGGCATCTGGATTGGGCTGAGGAGCATATTAAAGACCCCTTGGGTCTCACCGCCTGCAGTCTTGGATAGACAAGGCCCAAACCTCCGGAAGTGGAAACACAGAGGCTGTATCTTGGCACTGGCTGCTGGGCTGACCCCAGTCATAGGGACCTCATAACAGGCCCAGGGAGGCTAGAAGGATGAGCAGCATTCAGAGATGGTATCAGCATAAGCAGAGGTGTGGAGGCCTCTCTGAGATAGGTAGAGAGGCTAAAGAGGAAGAGGAGGCTAGTTCATGGGACCAGAGTCGCATTACAATCTCAAATATGGTGGGATGGATGGCCCTTGCATCCCTGTCCCCTCTGTCCCCTTCCCAGTTCCGGCTAAAGCGCTGTGGCCTGGAGCGCCGGATATACCTGGTGGAGGAGCAAGGCTCAGTCCACAACCTCAGCCTTCCTGAGAGCACGCTGCTGCAAGCTGTCACCAACACTCAGGTGAGCTGGGAGGGCAGGACCAGGCTGGCAGGGGCTCCTGTGGTCTGTGGCCCAGGGCAGGAGCCACCCTCCCTCTCTTGGGTCCTCTTCCCCAGGTCATCGATGGCTTCTTTGTGAAGCGCACTGCAGACATTAAGGAGTCAGCTGCCTACTTGGCTCTCTTGACACGGGGCCTGCAGAGACTCTACCAGGTGAGCAGATGCCCCCGTCCAGCACTGGTCCTTTGCCTGGGTCCCATGCTTCCCCAAGGGAAGCAGGGTGGGTGAGATTCCCATTTCTCAGACTGGCCCACTCAGGCCTGGGACTCAGCAAGGACTGGCTAGGGGTTGTCCGAGCTCCAGCCTGGCCTCAGTCCCTTCTCCTCTCAGGGACACACTCTACGCAGCCGCCCCTGGGGAATCCCAGGGGATCCTGAATCAGGGGCTGGGCCCTCCCCAAACCCTCTCTGCTCACTCCTCACCTTCAGTGACTTCAACGCAGGAGCCATCAAGAACAAGGTACTGTTTCTGCTCAGCTCCTCCTTACATGTCCGGGCCCCAGACCCCCCATGATAGAGCCCTTCCCTGACCCCAGGCCCAGTCAGTGCGCGAGGTGTTTGCCCGGCAGCTGATGCAGGTGCGCGGAATAAGTGGAGAGAAGGCAGCAGCCCTGGTGGATCGATACAGCACGCCTGCCAGGTAGGCCCCCAGAGGGACTTTTAGGGGTCCTTGGCCTCTGCCCTCCCTGCGTGAAATTCAGCTTGACTCAATGCAGGGGCCTGGCTCTGTGTGGGCTGTGCAGACCCAGAGATGGAAATATCTGGCTGGACCCTGGGGGGGCTCATGGAGGTCAAGTGGAGAGGAAGACAGCCAGCCAGGACCAGATAGTATCCCAGTCACTGGGGGAGGCTACAGGAGGGAGGGAGATGTTCCACCTGGTGGAACAGGGAGCAGAGAAGGCTTCCTGGAGGGGAGGGGGCTAGGCCAGGAAGACTGGCAGAACTCTTAGAGCCTTGGCTGGTTTTGCCCCAGTGTTGCCATGAGGAGGGCAGGTGGGATGGAGCAGGGCCTTGCATGCCAGGCTCAGGAAGTCTGGCAGTGTCCTGACTACTCTACCCCATGCTGGCCTGGAGCCACTCAGAGTGGGCCAGCAGTCAGCCATTGTCAAGCCTTAGAAACTCAAACGCCACAATGTCCCACCCCCAGCCTCCTGGCCGCCTATGATGCCTGTGCCAGCCCCAAGGAACAGGAGACACTGCTGAGCACCATCAAGTGTGGGCGGCTGCAGAGGTGAGGGCAAGAGGCAGACCCAGAAGGAGTGGCAGGGGCCAAGGCTGCCCAGGCCCTGACCCTGGCCTGCTCTCTCTTCCTACAGAAATCTGGGACCCGCTCTGAGCAGGACCTTGGCCCAACTCTACTGCACCTGCAGCCCCCTGACCTGAGCTTATGCCATAAGACAGACCCCAACCCGCTCTGTCCCCCGACCCCTCAGGCTAGCCAACCTTTAACCAAGATCTTTTGGGCTATAATAAAAATCTAGCTGTTTGCAACATTACATGTTGTGGAGGCTATGCCAGGCCCCAGGAGCCTTATAAAATACATAGGAGCTAGGGAAACCATCTGGTCCAGTGGTTTTTAAACCAAGCTCCTGAGGACCTGGGGTTCCCTGGACAGGGAGATGGAATCAGTGGGTCATCACAACTTTGAATCTATTTTATGTAATCAGATAGTCCCTGATGAAATAAAACTTCCTTTGATAAGAGATTCTGTAATTTGGGAAAGAAAAGCTTGAAGACTACTAACAGTCCAGTTGCCTCACTTTATAGATTGGAAATCAGGCCCAGAGAGCTATGGAGGCTTGTCCAGATGTATAGTTTGAGGCAGAGCTAGGACTGGGATCTGGAACCTAGGACCTCCTGGTGCTGGCAAGAGTGGGGTTCTCAGGACCTCTACAAACCAGCCAAGTCCAAATCTCTGGGCTGGGCCTGGAGTCCACATGCCTTATAACTTCCTCCCCTCTCAGGGTGGTCCTCAAGCCTGTGGTCCAAAGGTCCCAGCTCTCATCAGTGGGGCCCCCTGGTTCTAAGCACAGAGCTCCCCTTTAGGACTTGGTTTGCCTCCCATGGGCCAAACCCCTCCCCGAGTCTGAGGCTCACTGTAGTATGACCTGCCCTCCTTGGCCACCAGCACTCCTTTCTCCCTTTATTGCCTTTCTCTCTGTTCTTCACAATAACAGCTTCCCTTTTTAGCAGAACACAGTCATCCCTGAGCCCCAGGCTTCTCAGCTGTAGAGGGGTGTGGGGAGGGTGACCCCTTCCCCCTCCTCAGAAGGTGTAGGCCCCCACGAAGACGGTGAGTCTCAGTACAGAGCTGGCCCGGTAGCTCATGAGGGAGTTCATGGTGACCATCTCCAGATCTAGCACATACTCCCGGGGGCCCGTCACCGGCCGGGCGAGGACCAGCATGGCGCTGACATTGTTGATTTGCTGCAGGACACGGTGGGGGGACATGTAGATTGTGTCAGCCTATGATGCCTGGTGCCTAGGCACTACCCCATCACCACCTTCTGCCCAATGGCCGAGAGGTGGACAGACAGCCCTGGCCAGACTATGACCTTGGCCTCTTGTCCAGCTCTCTGACACCCTTGACATCTCTCCCCGCCTCCTGTACCCAGGCTCCTGCCATTGGGGATCTCCCACTCATGCTCTTTCCACCCTTTGCAGCTAGTTCTGTCTAACCAGGGTGACCGATGATTCAAGGCCAGGGTGAGTTTTGGGAGTGGTAGGGCCTTTGACGTGGAGGGGGCAGACTCCAAAGAATTCAGTGTCAAAAAGAAAAAGCAAGCCATGATAACTAGACAAACCCCTTCCCATGTTGAATACAGCACAAGGAGTGTGAGTTTACACTCCTTGGTGTGTGCCACACCTGGACCCCTCCCACCTTACAGCTGTACCAGCAGACAGCTGGATTCTCTGACCCCAGGGCTCTGCACAAGCCCTTCATACCAGTCCCTTGTTTTGTGGGTGAAGAAACTAAGGTCAGACAGGGGAAACCAGTACCGGGACCCAAATCCCAGTGTCTTGTTAGACTTGCATATAACAATCTGTCCTTTATACTATGGGAACCTGGCACACTCCTATCCTACAGAGATCCTGCCTCCAGGGGCAGAGCTTTGAGAAAAGAGGCAGGGCATGGTGGCATAGCCCAGTCTCCCCCTAGAGGCTTCCTGGAATTCAATTTTAGATTATGCAGGTCAGTTGAGAGGTGGAGGTAGAAAGCCTTACCCTAATGTAGAAGTCCCCCTGTGAGTTTCCGGCACGGATCTGAAAGGCATTGTAGGCGCCAGGGTAGACGGAGGTCGCCTGGATCTGGAACACGTCAGCGGGCACGCTCCGCTCCGAGGTGATGGTCATGTAACGGTGCACAATAGACGAAGGCTGCTCTCGACACAGGGGGTTGGAAGCCGGACAGAGGCAGCGGCTGGAGACCCCGAGATGGGGGACAGAAATGAGGTCCTTGCCCATCCCCCAAATCTCATCGACCCCAAAAGGAGGAATCCCAAAGGGATCTTCCCACTCCTGCTATAACAGTTTGTGTGATTTGGTGAAGAAAGACAACCCCCATTTAGCCTTCAGGGGCACTGGCCAGTCGCAATAGACACCAGTCTGCCCCAAAGCCCTCTGGGAGTTGTAGTTTCTTTGGGGGCCTGGCATGGAGTTGACTCACTTGTCAGACACCTGGACATAGGGCTCCACACAGCGGTTGGTATCCACGCAGCGGTAGCCCCCATGGAAGTTGACACAAGTTTGGGCCTCAGAGCACTGGTGTGCACCTGACTCGCACTCGTCAATGTCTGTGCCAGGGGAGAGGGGCTGGAATCAGGGGTGTCAGGCCGCCAGCCCCTGACACCATCTCGCCCGACCCATGTCCAAAACCTGTACCTTGGCAGAGGCGAGTGGCCAGCAGCTGGTAGCCCTGCGGGCATTGGCAGGAGAAGCGGCCTGGCTCGTTGACACAGCGGTACTGGCAGAGATAGCTGGAATAGCTGCACTCGTCAATGTCTGAGAAAAAGCGGGCATGAGCACCATTGGCCAAAGGCAGTCCTCACAATTCAGTCCCACGTTAGGCTGAATATAGCAGGAGACAGGGCTCAAAGAAAGATACCCCCAGTGCACAGACCTCTCACTGCCCCAAGACTGGAAGAAAATACTAAATAAAAACTCTGGGAATCTAGGGGCTTGGGTGTGAATCCTACTGGCTGATCTTGGGGAACCTCGTTTTCCCTATCAGTGAAGTGAGTGGGTTAGATGAGTCTCGAGGGCCCACCCAGCCTGCACTAGTTTTCAATAATTTGCCCAATTCCTGCAAGCCACAGTCGGCCTAAGCACCCAGCAGTCACCTGACTGTGAGTTACCAAGGCAGGAGACTTTTTCTACTCTTGTGACCCTTGTGCTGCCGGGTACCAATGAGGCCTTATTCTGCAGCAAAGCATGATGTAAACGGGGTACCTGTCAGTTGAGTGAGAAAGATGGGCTGGAGCTCCAGTCCCATCTTTCTAGCTACATGAACGTGGGCAAGTCACTTACCCTCTCTTTTTTTTTTTCCTTTTTTGTGTGGTGGGGGTCTTCCGGTAAGGACTAGAAAACCTGCTAGACAAATTCTAAAAGAGCTGTAACACTCAACCTAGTTGAATAATAAAAGTTCCCATTTATCCAAGATTCCATGCTTATTTTTTATAATCCAACAAACCTAGAAGGAGATATTAATGTCCTCATTTTGCAGAGGAAGGAAAAAATATCATCCTTGCCTCCTAGGATTGTAGACAGGATTAAATGAGGCCAAGTGTGTGAGGGAGCTAAGCTGCATAGGGTGGGTTCTCCATAAATGGGAGGCCACTTTAAAGCGCTGCTCTTTGAGACCTGATGCCCATCTATTATACCGTCTCACTTAATCCTCACAACCCATTTACAAAGGAAACAGAAGAGTGGCCCTTGTGCCGGGTTTGAATGTAGGTCAGCCCAGCTCTCGGGAAGAGTGGCGCCCACACCCTTCTCAGTCTCCTCAGTGAGCTTCAGTAGGGACCTAATTGCTCCCCTCGGTGCCTTCCCCCCCCAGGGTGCAAGTGCCCTTCAACCAGCCCTGGGCTGAGTACCCAGGGGTAGGTGAGTGCAGAACACATGGGACGTGTCATGCAGGCATCCAATGAAGAACTGTGTGGCAGGGACATAGCAGGATGGATGCAGGGCCTGGGTGACCGATGGAGGAACACACAGCAGGGGTGGAGCTCTCACCACTGCAGGAGAAGCCATCTCGGTGCAGCTCGTAGCCCTGGTGGCAGCGACATAGGAAGGTCCCATAGGAGTTGAAGCAGCGCTGCTCACATGGGGCCCCCATGTCACACTCATTCACATCTAGGGGTTGCCAGGAAAAACAGGAGGGATGAAAGGGGAGGAGCAGCCCAGAGCCCCCACTCCATCTCAGCTGGTGGGAAAAGGAGCTCCCCCACCTCACACCTCCCTGCCCAGGAGCCAGGGCCGGCCTGGCCCAGCCTCACCCACACAGGAGCGGTTGTTGGGCCCCAGCTGGAAGCCCGGCTCGCACTGGCAGCGAAAGGAGCCAGGCAGGTTCACGCAGCGGTGCTGGCAGTAGCGGTAGCGGCATTCGTCTATGTCTGGTAGAGAGGCAGGGAAAGGAGGGCGGGGGCAGAAGCCAGGTGGGCCTAAGCCAGCTACGACTCAAGGCCTCACCACCTATAGTCCTGTGTGTGCCCAGGGAGCTGGACGGGGCCAGGTCAGCCACGACACCCCCCAAACACATCCCTGTAGAGTCCTCTGTGTCTGATGACAGGAGGGCTGAGGTGGCAGGGGACTGGAGTGAAGCCTGGGGGTGGGTTGGAATGGGCGTTAGGGTGAGAGCCAGCCAGGGGCACAGAGCAAGGACCAGAGAGGCTGCTCCCTGGACTCACCCACACACTCGGGCCCGATCTTGCGGTAGCCGTCGGGGCAGGTGCACTGGTAGGAGCCAGGCAAGTTATGGCAATCCTGGCTGGGGCGACAGTCATGCAGGGCCTGGGCACACTCGTCCACATCTGTGAGAGACACCACTCAGCCCCACCTGGGATCCCACCAGCCACCCAACATGACAGATGGATCCAGTACTTGGACTAGATCCTCTTGACAATACAAATAGCAGTTCAGCCTGGAGCCAACAGGAAGGACACTGCTAACCTGTGACACCCCATGTCAGGGGAACACAGGAAGCAAGGCCCTGTCCACACAGCCCCAGCAACACTGATTCCTGGACTTTCCTTCTTCCAAGGTCTGTGACTCACAGAGGACACAGGCTGGGAGGCAGAGCTCTTGCAGTGTTGCCACAGCAACCAAGGGGAGGGTCCCAGGAGCTGGCTGGGGCTATGGGACAGAAGCTGGGGCCACTTGTGGCAGGCTCCAAACAAGTGGGGATCTGGATGAGGGTGTGCATGTCACAGTGGCCATGAGAAGCCACAGGCAGCTTTTGAGCCAGGAAGGAATGTGAGGTCCGAGTTTTTAAGATGCTTAGCGAGAGGACTGGAAGCCTGGGCACCAAAGTGATCCCCACTTACCCACGCAGCTCTCCTGATCGTTGGGCTCATAGCCTGGTGGACAGGGGTTGGGGTGTTGAGTGGGAGGCACTGGTGGTGGGGGTCCCTCGCCATGTAGGTCGTTGATGACGGCAGCTGAGCGGGGTAGGCACAAGTAGCCCCCATAGTGGTTGATGCACTTCATTTCCCCCTTACAGGCCTCGGGGATGGTCAGACACTCGTTGACATCTGCAGAGAGGGGCCTGCTGGGCACAGCCAGTCTCCTGGCTGGCCCTGGAAGGAGTGGGAGGCAGGAGCCCCACTCGGCCTTCTCTAATCTGTGGGACCCAGGCAAAGCCTTCCCTCTCTGCTCAGCCAGCTAAGGGCCTGCCTGGGCTGGAGGTGGAGTGGTTGTTCTGACTGTGCCCTCATTCTCCTGCCTCCAAGTGGGTCTCTCCCTCTCCCCCAAGCCCTGGCCCTAGCTCAGTCCAACCCTGCAGACACTGCCCTCCCAGGCTGTGATGGGAACAAAGTACTGGGCAGAAGAGGGGTTCAGAGGTGCACGGGATTCAGCTCCTCTGGGGGTAGGCGCAGGCTTTCCTTGGTTTCTGGGAGAGGAAGGGGTCACTTCTAGTTGATCTGCCCCTAGAGAACCAGAGCTGGGCTCAGCTGAGCAGAGCAGGGCAGAGGAAGGGCCACTGGGCTCCTGGTGCAGCTCTTGAAGATGGGGGTGTCCTTGGGAAGCAAGATTCAATCCTTTCCCCGGCTCCTGGGTGTTGTTAGTACCCCAGGCACACTCACCTCGGCAGTGCTGGCTGTCTGGGTCCCACTCATAGCCATCTGTGCATTCCTGGAAGGGAACCAGAGTGGCTAGTGGTCACCCTCAGGTCTCCTCCAACTAACCAGGCCGAGACCAGGACCTGAGCCTGGCCACCCTCCCTGCCTGCTCCAAACAATGGCCCCCAGTTGCTCTACCAACCAGAGGAGGAGAGAATCTTCCCCAGTAGCAGCCACCCAAGATCCTGGTCTCTCCGTCCCTGCCCGTCCTGTCCCAGGCCAGTGGCCCCCATCGTCCCCACCGTGTAGCTGTCCGGCTCCTCGGAATCCTGGGGAGACGCTGTCCCCAAGAGCAAGAGCAGCAGCGCCCAGAGCAGTAGAGACCCGGGGAGGCAGGAGGCGAAGGGGAGCATCCTGGGGCTGGGACGTGGTGGACGGGGGTCAGGGGCCTCTGCCACTGAACCCCGGTTCCCTGTCCCAGGACCCGGAGCCCGGCCGCTCAGGAGCATGTTTGGGGCCCTGGAGCCTCCCAGGGCTGGAGGCCCACTCCTCTCCCAGGCCCACCCGCCCGGGGCCGCCCCGCCCCCGCCCGGTCCCCCAGCGGCGCAGGCCGAGGAGCTCGGGCCTCTGGGCTCTGCGCTGCCGCTGACTCGGCCGAGACTACGGCCCGCGCCCTGCCCCCACGGACGGCCACTCACTTGGGCCTGCGATGGCCCTGCGGCCCGCAGCTCCGGCGGCTCAGCTGGCTCGGGCAGTGCCTGCGGGCAGACGGACGGGCGGACGGCACAGCTCCCTGGACGCGCGGCCCCAGGAAGCGCCCCCCGCCCGCCCGCCTGCCGCGGCGCGGCCCACCCCGGCGCCTCCGCCCGCCCTTCGGCGGATTCCTGAGCCCGCGCCAGGGGGAGGGACCCCGACCCCCGCTTCTCCGCCCCCGGCCAGCCGCAGGCCCTCACCCGGTCCCCCGCGGCGCCTCTCAGAGCCGCCTCCCGGCGCTGGGCCAGGGTCCCCCAGCGCTCGATCCTTGGAGCCGTTGACCTTGATGCAAGGCCCCCAGACTCACCCGGGGGACCCCACATCCTCACCAAAAATGTCATCCTGTGCGCCTAGCCCCTACCTAATCTGCGCCCCCAGAATTTCAACCTGTGCACCCACACCTTAATCCCGGAGCCCCCAGACTCTCCTTCTGCGCCTCCCAAAATTGCCCTGGACACCTAGAACCCACCTAATCCTAGGGCCTCCAGGTCCTCACTCTACTCCCTCCAGCACTGTATTCTATGCTCCCAGATCGACACTCTCGACGGTCCCAAAACCTAGGGTCCCCAGACCCTTGCCCAGGAACGAGACGCTCCAAGGCGCACAGCTGTCCATCTCTCTCCCTTCTGCCCTTCACCCCTAGGGTCGTCTTTGGCTAAGTGGTCCCTTCACCGCGGTATGGCCTCCCCCGCGCCCTCCATCCGCAAAGCACAACAGTTTGGGGCAGGGGCGGAGGTTCACTTTTGGCCCAAAATGAATGGAAGCCCCTGAGAAGGAGGGCAGAGCTGAACTTGGCCACGCGCAATACGCCAGGGTCCAGCGCCCAACGCCTCCCCGACCCTCCTCCCACCCATGTCCCCCACCCACGTCCCCCACCCAGTTTCCGCCTGCACCCCCAAGTTGAGGGCGTGTCCCTTGGGGTGGAGTCTGGGCAGAGCTGGCTCCCAGGAAGGGGCGGGCCCTCGTTTTGCCCACGTCTCTGGGCGGGGCCAGACGGGAAGGGCTGCGTGTCCGGGGATCCCCCGCCTGGGACCAGACTGCGAGCGGGAATGGCCATTTCCCCTTCCCATCCCTGTTTATCCCCACAATCGCCCACCGTGTGGTCCCGAGGGGCTGTGCCGAGTAGGGATGTGCTGGTGGGTCCCCAGGTGAGCCCTTGGGGTTCAGGGAGAACTGCTGAGCGTCTCCTCCTCTCCACTCCCCCGCACCCCGAACACCACCGTCCTTCCCAGTTGCTGGGGCAAGGAATTAAAGAATAATACTCTTTAAAACCAAAAGGAAAGACAATAACAAGTGTTGGCGAGGATACGGAGAAATGGGAACCCTCATAAGATGGTGCAGTCGTTTTGGAAAATGGTCTGGCAGTTCCTCAAAAGGTTACCATATGACCCAGCAATTTCACTCCTAGGTATATACCCAAGAGAATTGGAAACATGTACACACACATAAATCTGTACAGTGTTTATAGCAGTACTGTATATAACAGCCAAAATGAGAAACCCCCAATGTCCATCACGTGATGAATAAACAAAATGCAGTATACTCATGCAGTGGAATATTAGCCGTGAAAAGGAAAGAAGAACTGATACATTCTAGAACATAGATGAATCTTGAAAATATTACACTAAGTGAAAGAAGCTAGACACAAAAAGCCACACATTCCATTCATATGGAATACCCAGAATAGGCAAACCCTAGAGAGAAAGTAGGTTAACGGTTGCCAGGAAAAGTGGGAGTGGGGGGAGTGGGGAGTGACCGCTAATGGATATGGGATTTATTTTGGGATGATGAAAATGTTCTGAAATTAGGAGTGATAGTAGCACAACTATGCAAATATACTAAAAACCACTGAATTGTATGTACACTTTTAAAGGGTGAATTTTATGGTATGTGAATTATATCTTAATAAAGTGGTATTTTTAAAAATAATTAAAATAGCTTCTAATCATTAAGATCTAAATGTTCTAGGCACTGGCATGGGCCTCGTGCAATCCTCCTCCCAAGGCGGGGAAAGGGTGCTGCTAGCACCCCATTTTACAGATGAAGGAGGCTAAAAGATTTGTCCCAAGTGTAACCAGAGTAGTGAGGGCAGGATTTGAACTCATGACCCGCTGACTCCAAGACTCTCTGGGCTCTTTGCCCCATATAAAGAGTATTGAAGACCCACCATATGAACCTCCACTCTGTGCCAGCCAGGCTGGTGGGTGCTCCAATAAGTCATTCCACTCAAGCCCCACCACAAGAATTATCATGGCCAATTAGAGTTGAGGGACCAAGGCCCAGAGGGGAATGACTTAATGTACAGTTGATGACTTAAACTTGGACCTGAACCTCCGTCTTTGCACTATTAGGCCCAAGTGAGCCTGCCACTTGGAGGTGCCTCCTCAGAACAGCTCTCCCAACCTCTGCCATCCCACAGACTTTCCCTGCCCCCACCCGCTCTGCCTTGGGTCCTTCTTAGAGGTTATCTTGGTCAGTGTCTCGCTCCTACCAAGTAGGAGCTTCCACCCAGGCATTGAGACCCCTGAGCCCACACAGTGCAGCCCTCACTGGCCGCCAGCCAGGATCTGCACCATGAACAAGTGGATGAATGAATGAATGAATGAATGAGCAAGTGGGGGGATTTCATTCATTCATTCAAGAAATATATGATAAGTGAGGCCACTGTGGACCAGATGCTATGCTAGGAGACATGGCACTGATCAACACAGAGCAAAACCTCCTGGCCTCATGGAGCTCCATTCAAGATAGAGAAGGAAAGGATCAAAGAGGAGGGCCACTCAGCCCACACCCTCAGTCCCTCCCCCTCCTAGCCTCCTACATCTGCTACCACAACGGGTAGGTTGTATGCCACCCCCTTTTGGTGCCCACACTGGGACCTCCAGCTCTGAGGGCTGACTTGGGGCTGTACTCATAGGTCATACACATGACAAGACCAGCCTCAGGCCCATAACTGGGCTCCAGAACCACAGGGCAAACCACCACTCTGGGGACAGCCTGAGCACTGCATTTTTTTTTTTTTTTTTGAGACAGAGTCTCCCTTTGTTGCCCAGGCTAGAGTGAGTGCCATGGCGTCAGCCTAGCTCACAGCAACCTCAAACTCCTGGGCTTAAGCGATCCTCCTGCCTCAGCCTCCCGAGTAGCTGGGACTACAGGCATGCACCACCATGCCCGGCTAATTTTTTCTATATATATTAGTTGCCAATTAATTTCTTTCTATTTATAGTAGAGACGGGGTCTCGCTCTTGCTCAGGCTGGTTTTGAACTCCTGACCTTGAACAATCCACTTGCCTCGGCCTCCCAGAGTGCTAGGATTACAGGAGTGAGCCACCGTGCCCAGCCCTGAGCACTGCATTTTAACAAAGGTAGCACCACTCTTCAAACAGGAGTCCATTGGATTCCCATCTGGGGGAGGGGAACAAAATGGAGCCAAATGGAGCCTCACAACCCTGGGAAAAGTGATAATGAGATGAGGCAGTGAGTACATAAATGAATAAACCCCCGGATCAGAGCCCTCCTCTCTTCCCCTCCTCCTTCCACCCCAGTGGAGCCCTAGAAAGCCAGCTTTTCACACTCCTCTTTGGTCTTGGGCACAGGTTCTCAGCCTGGGGGCCCATCCAGGAGGCCCCAGCCCAAGGACCCCTTAAGGACTGAGGCAGCAGTAACAGATGTTAACGCGCCACCCAGCCCTTGACCTCATAGGCTTTGGCCTTGCTCTGTCTGTGACACCCACTCTGTTAGCTTTCTGCCTCCTCCTCCCCAGACTGGCAGGGATGTGGAACATGAGGCAGTAGCTGCTACTTAATGTCTCCTAGCCCCTGCACTTTCCTGTTTAAAACCCATGGCAAACAATGTCTAGTCAATAAACACCCATCAAGCCCACTCCATGCCTGGCCCTGGCCTGGGCACTGAGGACACAGGTGAATCAGACGCCTCTGGCATGGTGAGGAGGCAGATGCCACGCGGGTGGGCACAGGTACAGCAGGGGTGGAGGGGCTATGAGAGGTTACACCAGAGGCTGGGGGAGCAGGGAAGACTTCCTGAGGGAGGTGGCTGTTGAGCTGAGCTTCACAGGATGAGCAAGTGCAGTTCCCCAGAGGGCACTGACTATCTTCCATCCCACCTAGTCATCAGGGGCCTGTGGCTCCTAAAGCCCCTGGGCTTCTCTGTAATGGCACTGATGTCTGTATATTGTCACTGTCCTCTTCAGATCTATCTCCTCCTATCTATCCCTTAAGGACAGATTCATCTCTGTATCCCGGGAATTGCCAGAACAGTGTGGGCCTAGAGCCTCTGTTGAATTGAGAAAAAGAAGCCGGGTGGGGAATAGGCAGGCAGGCAGGTGAGGCGGATGAAAGCCTGAGGCAGCCCAAGTGCTCTAGTGGTCCCCCTCCCAAGCCTGGTTCCCCCTTTGTAGTTCTCCCAGCTCCGCCCTCTCCCCCTCCAGCTTGATCTGCACAACTTCCTGCCGCTGGTACTAGGGCTGCACCACCATGACACGAACTGCTCCCCTCTCCTGCCTGCTGGCCCTGTTCGTGGCAGGCCTAGCCCAAGGCATCAGGGGCTCCCTTAGGGTCCAGGTAAGTGCTGTCAACCCACCCCCAATACCCTCACCTCTGCCAGTCCCATGGCTGGAGTCACCCCTCACAACAATTGTCTAGTCATTCCCATTTCTTAGAGGGAGGCTGGAGACTGAGGCTGGAAAGGTGGGTGACGTGCCCAAGCCCACATGGGGAGAGAAGGCTGACTCCCTAGCCCAGTCCTGGCATGGCTGGGAGCTAACTGGGGTCCCAGCAATGATTCCTCCACCCACTGCCCCCTTTCCACCCTTGGTTCCTTGCCAGGACCCAGGTCCCCGGCCGCTGGAGCTGAAAGAGGTCTTCAAGTTGTTCCAGGTCCAGTTCAACCGGAGTTACTCCAACCCAGCAGGTATCGTGGGGCACTTATGTCTCCAGTTTGGCCCCCTCCCCACATTTAATAGATGAAGAAATCGAGGCTCAGGGTGGGGAATCATTTTGGCCAAGGCAACTCAACAGGACCTTGGCAGGGCTGGGGGTGCACTCCCTGGTTTCCCAAATGCATGTGGGGGGACAGATCATTCTTTGCTAGGAACCTGGAGGGCAAGGGGCAGCTGTTGGGAGCCTGCCCTAGTCCTAGAGGGTCCCTTGGCCCCACAGCCGCTCCCCTGATTCCAGACAGTGGGTGGGGGACCACCATCTAGTCATGTGTTTATTCAGCAAACACCCAAGATACTCATTTTGTTCCCAAGTTGGGGGCTCCCTCTCTACCCCCATGAACTGCCAGACCTGCAACTTCTCTTCTGTAGGGGCTGGCCTACAGGCACCTTTTAGGGCAAGCTGCCTGTGTCCCATCCTCTCCACCTGTGGTCAGAGGTGTGAGAAGGCAGAGGTGGGCTGCCAGTCTGCAGCCACCTGCCTTTCCTTTCTGAGTCACTCTGTCTCCGGACCCCTTGCTTGGCTTTTCTACACTCTTATGTTAGGGTGGGCCGAGATGTAACACTTGTTGCCTCTGCGGAAAACCTAACTATTGGTCAGCTGCATAACCACTTCCTTGGCATAGGTGTTTGTGTAGGGCCTTGTGGCTACAAGAACGGAGCCCACTTGGGTGGGTGGGAGGGAGGATGAGCAGCCACTGGCAACTTCCTGTCCCTGGGGGCCTGGGAGCTGGCCTAAGAAGATTCCCTCTTGGTCCAGAGCATGCTCGCCGCCTGGACATCTTTGCCCACAACCTGGCCCGGGCTCAACAGCTGCAGGAGGAGGACTTGGGCACAGCTGAGTTTGGGGTGACTCCATTCAGTGACCTCACAGGTACCAGAGACGCTCCTGGCCCATAGGGTGGGTGGGGAAGCAGAGTCTCCTGCAGGGATGCTGGCAGACAGACCATGCAGACTTTCTACTTTCACTGTCCAGGGAGGGACCCTGAGAACCAGAGGCCCGGGTGCTTACCCCAAACAGCCAACCACAGGGGCAGAAACACTGCAGACCTGTGTCCCAGCCCAGCTCAGGGGCAAGGGCAGCAGGTAGAGGGGATGGCCCCCAGCAAGGAACTTGACCCCTCTTTAGGCCTTGGTATCTTTGCCTTTCTGCCACCCAAGATATTATAGGGACCCAAATAGGATGTGGATGGTTGGAGTGGGAGAGGTAGAATAGGAAGAAGGGGCCAAAACTGTAACCTTGGTGTCTCTGTCTGTCCCCCAGAGGAGGAGTTTGGCCGTGTCTATGGCCATCAGAGGGCAGCTGGAAAGGTGCCCAGTGTGGGCAGAAAGGTAGGATCTGAAGAGCAGGGGGAGCCAGTGCCCCCGACCTGTGACTGGCGGAACATGGCAAACATCATCTCACCCATCCAGGACCAGGTGCCTGCCCCAGCCCAGCCCAATCCTGCCAAGTGGTGGGAGGTGGTGGGTATGGCCTGCACCTTACCTGCCCTCACCCTCTTGTTCACTAGAAACACTGCAACTGCTGCTGGGCCATGGCGGCAGCGGGCAACATCGAGGCCCTGTGGGGCATCACATACAAAACCCCTGTGGAAGTCTCTGTGCAGGGTAGGGCTGGGCAAGGACACGTGTGGGATGCGGGGGAGGACTAGGCCCCATTCTCCCATACTGTCCCTTCTTACACCAGAGCTGCTCGACTGTGGCCGCTGTGGGGATGGCTGCCAGGGTGGCTTCGTCTGGGACGCGTTTATAACTGTCCTCAACAACAGTGAGTACACGCAGCTCTGGGCAGCTGCAGGGGTGGGGGTGCTCAGCAGCGAGCCTCCTCCCTCATCCTGCTTATCTCCAGGCGGGCTGGCTAGTGCAAAGGACTACCCGTTCCAGGGCCACGTCAAAACCCACAGGTGCCAGGCCAAGAAGTACAAGAAGGTGGCCTGGATCCAGGATTTCATCATGCTGCAGGACAACGAGCAGAGTGCGGCAGGGGAGACACATGGGGGGGCGTGATGGGAACAGACATCGGGGCGGGGCAGACACGTGTCTATATAGAGATGGGGGGTTGAGGGAAGGGGTAGGGGGAAGGGGGGCAGACTGACACACCATGTGCCAAGAGCAGGGGCCACAGGGCAGGCAGGGCCTGATGGCACCTTCTACCCCAGGAATTGCCCAGTACCTGGCCACCCACGGCCCCATTACCGTGACCATCAACATGAAGCTACTGAAGGTAAGATGAGGTAGGGAATGTGGGGAGGAGCACACAGGGGAGTTGGCCCCTGACTCAGCTCCTCTGTCCCCACGCCCTGCAGCATTACCAGAAAGGTGTGATCAAGGCCACACCCACCACCTGTAACCCCCAGCATGTGGATCATTCTGTCCTGCTGGTGGGTTTTGGTAGGGACAAGCAAGAGGAGGGGATATGGGCAGAGACAGTCTCGCCCCAGTCGCGCCCTCGCCGCTCCATCCCATACTGGATCCTAAAAAACTCCTGGGGGGCCCACTGGGGAGAGAAGGTGAGTGTTACCTACTGGGGAAGGGCAGAACTGGCCTCTCCCCACCTTCCAGCCCTGATGTCCCCTAACTTCCTAGGGCTATTTCCGGCTGCACCGGGGGAACAACACTTGCGGTATCACCAAGTACCCACTCACTGCCCGTGTGGGCCAACCAGTTAGAAAACGCCAGGTCTCCTGTCCCCCCTGAGCCCACCGAGCCTCCCCACAGCTATCTCCTGCTATGCCTGCCGCTGCTTCGTCAGCCCTGCCACAAGGTTTTGCCCATGCTCCCAATCTTCTCAATATGGCTGAATAAACCCAGATGAGACCCCTGGTTTCTGAGTGGACTCAACTGGGAAGGGGAGATGCTGGATGGGTCGAGCGCAGACACCATTCCCTGGTCTGTCTCAGTCCCCGCGGGGCGGACGTACACATACATCCTTCTACACGGACACCAGGGCACTCAGAGACACACACGTGCACACCTGGTACACCCCCACGGGCTCCTCCCCTCTGCAGACAGGATCATCTTCCAAACTCATGGCAGCTTTATTGTCAGCACGGGCAGGGCAGTGGGAGAGGGGCCTCAGTCATGATAGAGGCGCAGGAGGCAGCCACGGAGGGTGCCCATGTAGCGGTCCCAGAGGGCCTGGTGCCTGTAATGACAATAGTAACTGTGACAGCTGCTCGTTACTCCATACTCAGCACATCTGAGACACTGCTCTCAGTGCCTTCTATAGCTTAATTCATGTAGTCCTCATAAAATTCTTATGATTCTTCTAATTATTATCCCCAGTTCACATATGAGGAAACTGAGGCATAGAGAGGTTAAGTAACCTGCCCAAGGTCACACAGCTTCTAAGCCAGGACTTGGGTCCACAGAGACTTCCACCCCCAGCATACCAGAATGGGCAGCCCTGAGCCTGCAGGAGGGCTAGACCCGGCAGGTGGCTGGCTGGGTCAAGGCCAAGCTGGAGAGGAGAACAGTGTCTCTCACCGGAAGCCGTCCAGGGAATGGACAGATGCTGAATACTGATTCAGGAAGAGCCGCACGTCATTCAGTGGCCAGTGGTCAGAGCGGCAGGGTTCCACGAACTGTGGGACCAAGGGATTACTTAGCACCAGTACAGCCTGGGGACAGTCAGGCTGGGGATCACAGGGGCCAAGGGCAGCACAACTCACCTTCTCTACGAGGTCCACAAACAGGTCTCTGACATCCTTATTGTGGGTCAGCTTGGCAGCTACATTCACCAGCCCCCGGGACAGGTTCTGTGAGGCAGGGATCCTGGGAGTTCTGCCTTCTGCCCCAGAAGCTGGGGGAGGGACAAGCTCCTCCCCAAATCTATCAGCCTCCCTCAATCAACCAAGTCCCCGTCGTTTATGAGCCGGTTCCCCCTCACAGGCCGGCAGAGTGCGGCAGCGCCACCTGCCGGTCAACCTCGGGCAGGCGCAGAGATGCCTGGCAAGGGTAGTGCACTGGAGGCTGAAGGTGCCCAAGGGACAGAGGCTGGATGGGGCCACAGACCTTGAAGTTGGCTTCCATCTCAGAGAAGACGCCAAGCTTTCCCCGGAGAGCAGTGCACACCAAGCTGCAGGGATACAGGGTCACGCCTAGAGCCAGCCGAGCCCCTACGTCAAGCCCTGCCCTATGGATCCCCCAAGGTCACCTCTTGTGCAGGTCCAGAAGGTCCTTGTCAGCCACTAGCACCTTGAGCTCCTTCAAGTCCTGGAGAAACTCCTTGTCTAAGTCCATGTCCATGTCATCCATCTGGGAGTCTGAGGGAGGCCCATGAAGGGAGTTGGGGTGAGTGACAGAAACCACTCCTATGACACCCTGAGCCTTCCTCACCTGCCACGTCATTGCACCCCATGGGACAGAAGAGGAAACAGAGGAAACAGACAGGTGGAGTGACATGCCCCAGGCAATGAGCCCTTTGTCTGAAGACAGGTGTGTGTGGGAAAATGGACTACAAGCAAAGGTGGCCTGGGTGGGGGCCCTGACCAGAAAAGACGCTGGGAACTGGGGGCCCACAGGAGGAAATGCTAGGAGGGAACCAGGCCCTGAGAGGATGGGGAGGCGTCCGGGCACCTGGGTCAGTGGGGGCCTCACCGACGGCTCCAAGGGTCCAGTTCTGGATCATGAGCTCAGCACAGAAGGCAAAGTCGCCAAAGCTCAGATACTGCAGTTTTTTTTTCCCTGTCTCAAAGCGGTTGTTGGCAAAGAAAACGATGGCTGCATAGTCCCTGCAGGGAGGGGATGGGGGTCCTCTCAGGTCTTAAAATTCCTTCTTAGCAAACAGCTCCCACCCTGCACCCTCAGCTGGGCTTTTGAGTCCTGGCCTCTCTCTGCCCTAGGTCACAGTGTGATGTGTCTCAAGTCCCTTCTCTATGGGCCTCCCCATCTGTGCAAAGAGAAGTTTCCAGCCCAAGTTTCCTAAGGGATACAGTGGGAGATCACACAAGTAATACTGAGTACTTCCTAAATGCCAGAGGTTATGCCATGGGCTTTATAGGTGGCACCTCACAATAGTCCAACTGGAAACGGCTGGACTGGGATTTGAACCCAGGTCAGTCTGATTCAAAGTACAGACTAGAAATGAGATAACCATACCCCCAGCATGGCCAGGAGGTCAAAAGGATTGTAGTGGAGAAAGTGGACCAGCCTCAGGGCCCAGGGATGGAGTGTGAAAGGGGGAGATGGCTGGCCATTCACCTGGCCAACCGGTCGGAGAGCAGGAAGTGTTGCTGAATGTTATCCACCAGGGAGCCCCGCATTTCTTCCACCACCTTGAAGACTCGCTTGAAGTTGTCAAACTGCAGGGCAGTTAGAGAGGGAAGAACTGGTCAGAGGGTGCTCACACAGTAAATTGTTTATTGAACATCCCTCTCTCACTTATCTGCCTATCCAGTCAGCAGATGCTGATTTAGCACTTGTTCTTCCCTCAACCAACTATTAGTTATTAGTACCTGTTATCAATTCAACAGATGTTTATCAGCTTTTGCCATCTTGCCTTGGATAAAGGTTTGCTCACTCCATCCCTATCTTAAATGCAACCCCATTTTTGCATCATGCTCTCCGGATCTTCAAGACCTTGAGCTGGAACTGACTCTCCTGGCTAAGCTTCAGGGACTCAAAAATGAGCAAATGCTAATCCATCCATGGGGAGCTCACAGGAGACACAGAAGAAAGGCATCAAAGGCCCAGAAGGGTTACTTCTCCTTGGCACCACCAAAAAGGCTTATAGAGAACCTGGCGTCTCACCTCCTGCCTTAGATTACAAGGGGCAGATATGGCCAAGAACAGTACTCTCCAGGTAGGAGCAACATGAGTCAAAGAAAGCCTGGGGCTAGAGAAATGTAAGCCTAAAGAGGTCTGCAGGGACAGTCTGAAGGTCAAGGCCAAGGAGTGCAGCTGCTATCCAGGAGGAAATGGGAGCCAATGAAAGTTTATGAGCAAGGAAAGCCATGGTCAGATCTGGGCTTCTGAAAGACCACTCTGGCCACAGAGCCGGTGATGGCTTAGAAGGGGCAAAAAGTGGGGAGAAGAGACTAGGTATGAAGATGCTGCCACGATCAGAGGCTGGAGCTGAGGCAGTGGCCAAACGGATGGAGCGAAAGGGTGGACTGTAAATGGGGTCTGTGTGTGTGTGGGTGGAGTGCCCACCTGTCTCCGGCAGCTCTTGAGGGTGATGCCTGTTTTGGGGCTGATGTCGTCCAGGTCTTTCTTGGTGCCCTTGGACAGCTTCTTGCCCAGCACCTCTCGAACAAAGGCCTCGTCAAAGGCGTAGTACCTTGTGGAGGCAGAGGACACCACTGACCCTTCATAAAGAAAGGGAAGGGGAGGCCAGGCGTGGTGGCTCACGCCTGTAATCCTAGCACTCTGGGAGGCCGAGGCCGGTGGATTGCTCGAGGTCAGGAGTTCAAAACCAGCCTGAGCAAGAGTGAGACCCCGTCTCTACTATAAATAGAAAGAAATTAATTAGCCAACTAATATATATAGAAAAAATTAGCCGGGCATGGTGGCACATGCCTATAGTCCCAGCTACTCGGGAGGCTTAGGCAGGAGGATTGCTTGAGCCCAGGAGTCTGAGGTTGCTGTGAGCTAGGCTGACGCCACAGCACTCACTCTAGCCTGGGCAACAAAGGGAGACTCTGTCTCAAAAAAAAAAAAAAGAAAAGAAAAGAAAACAAAACAAAAACAAAAAAACAAACAAAGAAGGGGAAGGGGAACCTGGCCGGGCCTGGGTCTGGCCCCTTCTGCTTTCCACTTTCTGAGTGCCTGGGTAAGTCCTGTCCCTCCCTGAGCCTCGGTTTTGGTCTGCAAAATGGGTATACAGTCAGAATGGTTGGCATCTCCACCATCCCACCAGGTGAGCACCTCTCGATGAGCAGCGCCTGCCGGGAGGGCGGGATTTGGAAGATGAGCTGGTGCAGTAACTTGGGTGGTGCATGCAGCAGACGCTCCAGCATGTGGAAGGTACGGTAGTGGTCCATGGTGTCACTTTGCAGCACCGCTGCCGTGGCGCCCGTCTGCTCCAGGATTCCCGAACGCACCCGCAAGGCCACCGCATCGCTCACTGGGGAGTGGGCACTAGCATCAGGACCCGTCCCGCCGACCCAGAGGCCCTCCAGGGATTCCAGCCCCGACCCTTACACATCCCTTACTCCCAGCTGCCTGCCCACTTCCCCAAAGGATGCCCAAGTTTTGGCCCCGCCCCCTCTCCCTTCCAAAACAACCGCTTCGCCCGACGGGCTCTCCCAGACGGCCCCTCACAGACCCGAATAACCATCCAGCCAGAGGCGGTATACATCCTCATCTATAAGGGTCGTGTTCCCCACGAAGATGTCCAGTTCACTGGTCATGGCGACGCCCGGGGCTGCTGCGCCCCGAGCAAGAGCAAGCACAGCCCGAGCCGGGCGCGCCGCGGCTGGGCCACTTCCGGGAGCGCTGAGATTCCGTTCCGGGCACCCGGACTCAGCGAAGGACCACTTCCGGGATAGAGGAGGTGTGGGGGCGGGGGCGGTGAGAGAAGAGGCGGAGGCCTGGGCGGTGGAGTAGCTCCTCCTCCCGCAGGGAGGGGGAGTCCCAGGCTCACCCATCCTGCCTACCCCACACCACCCCCGCTGCCGTTTGCAGAGGGGCATCCGGAGTGCCTCCCCTGCCCCAGCAGCCTCTCCCCTCACTTCCTCCTGGTTTTTCTCCCACCTTCTCTGCTCTTTTCGGAGATTCCCAACTTTGACCTGTTTACTAAGCTTACGGGTTTCATGCTCTAGCCTGTATCTCTTTTCTGCGAAAGGGATGCATGACTTGACTCCCAGGGGCTCTTGCTGGAGGCCCCTCTGTCTATCCTGCGATTGAGCACTTCTGGGCCTGGAGCACCTGCTCCCACTATGGTTTTAGCCACACCCCACTCCCACGCTAGCTAAGGACGTCTCTTATTTAGCTCCTCAGAGCTCTGCCTGGAAGGCATCCGGAGGGGCTGCCTGTCTGCCCAGACTCTTCATGCTGTTTTCCCATAAGCCCCTCAAAAGCTCAACGTATTCCAGGCAGATCTCGCTCTCCCCAATCTGTTTCTTTCCTGCGTCCCTATCTCAGTGACAGCCCCAACATCCACCCAGTTCTCATGCTAGAAACCAGCATTCTCCCAGACTCCTCTCTCCCCACATTCAGTTCCGGTGATTTAGCTCCTGAATGTTAGTATCTGTTTGTCCTCTCCACTCCCACCAACGCCGCCCCAGCGCAGTCTTTCTGCATAGCTCTCCTTGATCATTGACACAGTGTTTCTAATCTCCTTGCCTACAACCCCTCCTCCCAGGGTCCATCCCACACAAAGCAGGCTGAACAATTTTGTTTAACGCATATTTTTTTTTTTACCTTTTTTTTTTTTTTTGAGACAGAGTCTCGCTTTGTTGCCCAGGCTAGAGTGAGTGCCGTGGCGTCAGCCTAGCTCACAGCAACCTCAAACTCCTGGGCTCAAGGGATCCTGCTGCCTCAGCCTCCCGAGTAGCTGGGACTACAGGCATGCGCCACCATGCCCAGCTAATTTTTTCTATATATATTAGTTGGCTAATTAATTTCTTTCTATTTATAGTAGAGACGGAGTCTCTCTCTTGCGCAGGCTGGTTTCGAACTCCTGACCTCGAGCAATCCGCCCACCTCGGCCTCCCAGAGTGCTAGGATTACAGGCGTGAGCCACCGCCCCCGGCACTAACGCATATTTTAAAATGTTACTCCCCTGCTTAAAATCCTTACTGGCCTTTGGAAACGCTCCAGCCTAGTATTGAAACCTCTGAAGAATTTGGCTTCTGCCTGCTCTTGAAGCCTCCCTCCCTCTCTTACCACTTTTCTCCAGACATCTGCCTTGCAAAAAACATCAAGCTACCCTCATTGTTCCTAAAGCAGCTCTTTCAGGTGCCAGTGTCTTTCACCATGCTATCCTCCCTGAAACAGCTCTTTTTTTTTTTTTTTTTTTTTGAGACAGAGTCTCACTTTGTTGCCCAGGCTAGAGTGAGTGCCGTGGCGTCAGCCTGGCTCAGCAACCTCAAACTCCTGGGCTCAAGCGATCCTCCTGCCTCAGCCTCCCGAGTAGCTGGGACTACAGGCATGCGCCACCATGCCCGGCTAATTTTTTGTATATATATTTTTAGTTGGTCAATTAATTTCTTTCTATTTTTGGTAGAGGCTGGTTTCGAACTCCTGACCTTGAGCAATCCGCCCGCCTCGGGCTCCCAAAGTGCTAGGATTACAGGCGTGAGCCACAGCGCCCGGCCTTGAAACAGCTCTTTATTTGGCAAAGTCATACGCATCTACCAGAGCCCCTCAGATATCACGTTTTCTAGAAAACCTTCTGGGGTTATCTCAGACCGTACTCCTCTCCTTCATTTGCTTGTAGTTTAACACAACCTATCTCTCCTGCCAGATTGCGGCCTCTGTGAGGACAGGATCAGGATCTTGGTCAAATTTATTTCTGCATGGGCCTTGCACACAATAAAGGTATATTGAACAAACGAATCTCTTCCTCCCCACTGGCAGGAAAGGCTCCTGGGAGGGAGAGTAGGCGAATGGTGAGCTAGGACGTTTGAACTCAGGGTTCTGAGGAGTTAGGAGCCATGCTTAGTGAGCCGAGACTCTCGAGTTGGATCAAAAGTAAGAGGGGCCGGAAAGGAATCCGCCTGAGTTCCGTCGGGGGGTCGGCAGCAGTCAAGGGCCGACGGCCGAGTGCTGGATCTCAGAGGAGCTGAAAGGCCTAGGCTCGAGCATGAGGAGATCTGGAATTTGGAGGTAGGAAGCGCCTATCTGAGGGTTGAGACTGGTGCCGAGGACGATGACTCCGTAGTTTATAGTTTTCCAGGGTCGGAGACACTGAGGTCCGGAGTGGGCCGAGAACCGGCTCTGGTGCTCAGGCCCCGCCCCTTTCCAGGGAGGCCTCCCCGGACTGGCTGTCTCTCCGCAACGTCATGCGGCCCCGCCCCGGCGCGCGCCCCGCCGCGTGCCCGCCCCCGGTGGCTGCTGCAGCCTACGCTGCCTTCGCCACTGCCTGCCGCCCGCGGAGCTGGAGCCGGAGCCCGAGCCTGAGCGGCGCCGGGCCCGACGTGGGGCTCCTGGGCCGCGGCGGCGGGCGGGCGATGCTCCAGCGGCCTGACCAGCCATGGAGGCCGAGGCAGGAGGCCTGGAGGAGCTGACGGATGAGGAGATGGCGGCGCTGGGCAAGGAGGAGCTGGTGCGGCGCCTGCGGCGAGAGGAGGCGGCGCGCCTGGCGGCTCTGGTGCAGCGCGGCCGCCTCATGCAGGAGGTGAATCGGCAGCTGCAGGGTCACCTGGGCGAGATCCGCGAGCTCAAGCAGCTCAACCGGCGCCTGCAGGCAGAGAACCGCGAGCTGCGCGACCTCTGCTGCTTCCTGGACTCGGAGCGCCAGCGCGGGCGGCGCGCCGCGCGCCAGTGGCAGCTCTTCGGGACCCAGGCATCCCGGGCTGTGCGCGAGGACCTGGGCGGCTGTTGGCAGAAGCTGGCCGAGCTGGAGGGCCGCCAGGAGGAGCTGCTGCGGGAGAACCTGGCGCTTAAGGAGCTCTGCCTGGCGCTGGGAGAGGAATGGGGCCCCCGCGGCGGCCCCGGCGGCGCTGGGGGCTCAGGCGCCGGGCCAACACCCGAGCTCGCCCTGCCCCCCTGCGGGCCCCGCGACCTAGGCGATGGAAGCTCCAGCACCGGCAGCGTCGGCAGTCCGGATCAGTTGCCCCTGGCCTGCTCCCCCGATGACTGAGGACGCTGCTTCCTCCACGCCAACGCCCACCCGGATTGCTCCCGGAGCTCTGGGACTGCGATGAACCTCGGGACCTGGACGCCTTCCTCTCTGAGCACGAGGGGCCGCTGGCATGGACTAAGAAATCCTGAAACCGAGGAGGGCCCCTCGCTCTCGCTGGCGGAGCAGCAGGGGGACTGGAGGCTGGAGCAGATGGACTTGCTGGGGGGTTGGGTGAGGGCTAATAAACCGGGACGGAAGCGGAGCCCGAGCCTGGGGAGAGTCTGTTTGGTACTGTTGGTACTGTCGGGGTTTGGTCGAGGGTGGGGACGCTGAGATAGGGTACCCTTCCCATCGGAAGGACTGCAGAACTAACGACTCCCCCATTACCTCGAGCCTGGGATGGGATGCGGGGTGGTGGTAAACCACTGACTCCCCCCGTCGGGCGCCAGAACGAGCCGTAATCCGGCCCCCAAAGTGGCTCCAGTTCCCTTCCCGGCTCCTTCCTGTCCAAGACAATGGGGCAGGAAGCAGGTGTTGGGGGCCTAGAGCCCACTCGTCCGCCTCCTCAGAGGCTGGAACGGGGCATAACAGCGCCCCCCTGTGGCACATGCAGGAGCGCTGTGGGCCCCGATGGGGAGAAGGATGATAATCCTCTTGGCTTGTATCCCAGAGCATTCTTTCCTCTCGATCCTAGAGATGAGGCAGAGCGTAGCCCCATTTGTCAGATAAGACAATCAAGGTCAAAAAACATCAAAGAATTTGTCCAAGGTCATGCAGTCAGTCTGTGGAGCTGGGACCGGAACCTAGGTCTTCTGGTTCCAAATGTTCTCCCTTTAGCCTCTGGATCTAATGAGATGCCTGGGCCAGAGCTTCAAGCCTTTTATTCCATTTTGGCAGGTTTGTATAAAAATACTCTCTTTAGGAAAATAAATAGCAGCTGCCCTCACTGTGAAGGCTTGGATTCTCTGGAGCTAAAGGCTTCTCAGAGCTGGGGTCTGCAAGTCAGCTCATCACAGGAGCCTCTGGTGCCTCCTCAGCTGTGCTACTGAGGAGGGGCCAGCAGAATGCCCTGGTCCAATCACCTGCTGCTGCTGGCAGTGGGGCTGGGTGAGTTAGTGTTCTAGGCTGGTAGAATGGCACTTCCGGTCTGGGGGTAGGGTTGGGGAGATCACAGGAACAGGGTGATGTGGAGTATGGGGGTGGGCTGAAGGGGGTTAGGGCTCCAGAGGACCCCTAGGGACCTACAAAGTCTCTTTGGGCTGCCAGGATTCCTCTGGCACAAGCGGGAAATATTTTGTCTCTGATTTAGTGCAAATTGTGCTAGAGAGGCCAGCTCTGGAAAAACAGTGGGTAGCTTTGAAGGCCCCAAGCCGGCTCTATTGTGAAGCAAAATTTGCCCAGTCTCATCTGAAGGAATGGAGAAGAACCTGCTGGGGTTGGCTGTGGGATGTGGTCCAGGCCAGCTGGACCCATGGAGAAAGAGAAGATGTTGGCTAGGGGGGCACCTGCAGGGAATGGGGCTGGGATGCCTCACAAAGCAAGGAGGGTGGGGGACCCCAGGGGGTCAGAGGATGGGTCTCCACTGCTGCTGCTACTCTTGCGATGAGCCGAGGCACAGGGCTCAGGGGTGCTGGGGTAGGTGAAGACCAGACTAGGGGTGAAAGGAGTCAGGGAGGGTGTGGTCATGAGTGTGGGAGTGTGCAATGCCTCAGGTTCAAGCACAGGACCTGGGGACAAGGAGATACAAGGTACAGGGTGGCAGGAGGCTGGCGGGCTGTTGGTGCTGCTGGTATTGCCTGTGTCCCTCTCCTTGGCTCCTTCTGGGATTTTGCAGATGGGTCGGTGGGCTTCCAACACCAGCTCCAGGCGCTCCTTCTGCTTCTGCAGCTCCTCAATCTCCCGCTGCAGTCCAGATTTCTCGTCTTCCAGTTTGTCAGTCTCCTGTAGAGGGTCAGGAGAGGAGTCAGGAAGATGAAGGCTGAATACCCCATAGCCTCAGGTGGTGCTTGTGGTGGGGGGTGGGAAGTCCTTAGCAAGTCTGGACTGCAACTCCCATGAGCCCCTGGGAGAAAATGGGCATGACTCCCATCAGTCCCGGCTCCTAGGAGATTGCTGGCCGAGCTTCAGCTCTGCTCTGCAGCGAGTGAGACGTGCTGCAGGCAATTTTTAATCGCTTTTTCCTCGACCTATTCCCGGAAGGACTGCCCCTCTGACGGGGAGCCACGGTGGTGTTGTGGGGACTACATACATGGGGACCCCGCGGATTCCTGGGAGGCGGGGTCCCTCTGTGGCTCTGTGGGTCGGGGCCTGGGCGCCCTCCACCGGGCGGGTACTCACCGCCTGTAGGAAGTCGGTCAGTTCCTTCCTCCGATTTCTGCACTTGGCCGCAGCCAGCTTGTTCCGCTCGCGCCTTACTCGGCGACGCTCCTCCTCCTCCGGGCTGATCTGGAAGATTTGGGGTGAGGGTGGCAGTGAGGAAGACCCTGGGCCACTAGCTGCCAGGAACTCACCCTCCATCCCTGCGTGGTCCAGTGGTAGGACCCTGGCAGAAGCACAGAAGCGCGCGGGACCCCCTCAACCTGTGATTTAGGGACTGGTGACCCCAACCAGTTATCCCGGCTGAACCACTAGTCAGCTTGGTCAAATTCCCTCCTCGCACCTAGCTTCAGTGCTCATTTCTCTCCCTTAATGGCCTCCACAAACCTTAACCCTCCTCATCTCCCAAGACTCAAAATAATCCTGCCTCCAGGAAGCCTTCTCATTCCCCAGCCAGAAGTGGCCTTTCCTCCTCTGAGTACCTGGGGTGGGGTTACCCCTTATTGCAGGACCCTCATTCTTCTGGATCTCTGAATAGCCAAGTCTCCTCTTGCCCCCAGCAACTGTGGGCACTAGGAAGGACTAATGAATGCTGCTGAATAAGTTGCAATTTACTGGGAACCCCCTATGTGCCAGCTAAGCACTTTACATAGATTTTACATGTAAGGAACTAAAGCCCAGGGAGGATGCACTTGTTTATGGTTCCAGAGCAAGAACTAGGATCCAGTGAGACAGGGTGGCTTGATGGTTAGGATCAGACTTCAGAGTTGGATAGACTTGGGGCCAAGGCCCATCCCGTCTCATTACTCACTACTTGTACAAGTCACTACCCCTTTGTGCCTTCATTTCCTGGGCTGGAAGATGGGGAAAACCAGAGTACATTCCCTTAGAGAGTTTTTCTGGGGATTAAATGAGACAATAAAACAGACCCAGAGAGTAGCTGAAGGGACCCCTCTAATCCTGTTCTCTCCCCAGACAGCATAAGCCCACCCTGTCCATGTATGTCAGCCGGCGAAGGTCGTCTTATCTTTCCACATACATACCTTCCACCTTCCCACCTCCAGCTCTATTCTTGCCATCCCCCCCCCCACCTGGAATGTCCTTTCCTTCATCTTTACCTATGCAAATCCTACCCATCTTTCCTGCCTTCTCCAGGAAGCTTTTGCTGAATAGAAGCTTCAAAAGTGACTGTTTTGTTCTCTGGGCCGTCCCAGGGGTTCCTATCATTTTATGCCTTGGACAATAGACACCAATGGCCCTACCTTCCCCTCTTCTAAGCCTGTGCTCTCCTTTCTAGCAAGAGCTGTCCTCTGTACCCTAGCACACCTGTGGGAAATTGGACCCAGTACAATGCCTCTGTTTCTTACCTGTTCAGAGGGCCGGCGACGTACCCCTGGAGGCGGCCCCAGAGCCCGGATGACTCCTGGCCGGGGTTGCGGGGGGCTGTACTGGGGGTAGGATAGAGGCCTAGGGTAGCTGCTGGGTCCCAGGAAATGAGGCTGCACCATCCACTGCAGCTCCTGACTGCCACTCACAGCGTTGATGCTTGGCACAAAGTGGAACTTCTGAAGGACAAGAAATGGAAGGCCAGGCATGAGGTCTGTGGGGATTGAGGGGCTTTCAGTAAGCAGAACCCACATTGCTGCCCACCCTCAATGTAGATACTGATTCTTGGAGACCAGAAATAGCACAGCTTAACAGTCAGAATTGGGCTTGGTGACAAATTGCTACTCCATAGCTGTGTGTCTTTGGGCAGGTCACATAACCTCTCTGTGCCTCTGTTTCCTCATCAGAGCTAATACCTTAAAAGTATGAATTGCCAAGTACTGTTCTAACAACTCTACAAATACTGACTCATATAATTGGCACAATAGTACCTTCATTTTCAGACAGGAGAACAGTTGTCCACAGACACACAGGCAATAAGTAGGAAATGGGATTTGAGCCCAGGCACCTGGGCTCTTACCCACTCCTGCACCCATCTGCACAGAAAGGATTATTACGACACCGAGCTTACAGGAGGCTGTGAACTCACGTGAGAGAATGTGTGTGATAAGTCTGGTAAGTGTCGGGTGCCCAATACAGAGGGGATGTGGCAGGTAAGAGCCACTGCTCTGCGTTCCAACTGTCCCAATTCTAATCTCAGCTCAGCCACTTACTGGCTGTGTGACCCTGGGTAAGTTATTTAACCTCAGTGTGCCTCAGTTTCCTCATTGTTAATATTATCACAGGTGAGGAGTACAACATCTCATTTAAAAATACATAGTGGCACAAAATAATGGCGGGTTTTAAAAATCTATGAGGTTTTTTTTTTTTTTTTTTGGAGCAGAGTCTCGGTTTTTTGCCTGGGTGAGAGTGCCGTGGCGTCAGCCTAGCTCACAGCAACCTCAAACTCCTGGGCTCAAGCAATTCTTCTTCCTCAGCCTCCCGAGTAGCTGGGACTCGGGAGTAGCATGCGCCACCATGCCCGGCTAATTTTTTCTATATATTTTTAGTTGTCCAGCTAATTTCTTTCTATTTTTTAGTGGAGACGGGGTCTCGCTTTTGCTTAGGCTGGTCTCCTAATCTCCAGCGATCCTCCCACCTCGGCCTCCCAGAGTGCTAGGATTACAGGCGGGAGCTACCGCGCCCAGCCTGAGGTCTTAGATTCCATGAAATACGGTAAATGATGTGGCAAGCGCCCAGTACGTTGCCCCTGGAACCATCTTCTTTCAGCCAGAAATCTGAGGAATGGGTTTGGGTGGGGGCTCAGTGTTCTGGGAGGAGAACTGGGTTCGAGCTCTACCGCTGGGCCCCAGGTGTTGGCGCCCAGTAGTCCGGGAAGCGCTCCACAAGCCCAGGCAAGTCCCAACAGCAGTGGCCCTGGCTCCGCGCCGCAGACCCAGCGGCCCAGTGACCCCAGTTCCCGGCCGAGGCACCGCCAGCGGCATCTCCCGCTTCCAAGGTTGTCCCGGTCCGGGCCGCTCGGGGCCAGGAAGGGAGGGGCGCCCCGAGTGACTCAGCCTCCGTGACTCGGCGGAACGGACGCCTCTCATTCCCTCCCTGACGACACGTGCTCACAGCCCCTCGACAGGAAATGGGCACCTGCAACCTCTCAGGTCCCCCCGCCGGCAGTGGGCGCCGTTCGGTGCGGAGAGGCGGGGGCGCGGGAGTTGCCGGCAGCACTACCCAGCGCACGGCCCGGCACCTCGCGGTCCCTGTTCGGCAGAGGGGTCGAAAGCCAGTCTCCGGGAACCTGTCAGGTTCCACGGCCAGGGACCGCCAGGCTCCACTGCGTCGAGATAGGGACTTGGCGACGGAGTAGAGAAGGACAGACACACTGACGGTCCCAGTGCCGAGGATTCCCACTCTGGCCGGGCTGTTCTCCCAATAGATCCGGCGTCCCTCGTGTGGCGGGACGTTTCAGCCACAGCCCAGACTCCGGATCCCAGGAATTTAGCCCGAGATGGAGAGACCCTCTGATCCGTCGGTGCCAGGACTAACCCAGACACCCGGGGTCCCTTCTGAGGCAGGTGGGACACAGAAATTAGCGGTGGACCGGAGGAAAGAAAGAAGGTAACAGAGGTGGAGGGACAGATCCACTTCAGGCAGGGAGAAGGGGACGGTGAGAGAGGGGCGTTCGCAGATCTTTGTTCCTCCGGGTGCGCGCCTTCCTCTGGGCCGTGGGGGAAACTGGCCCCTGGACGGCGGAGAGGGGGCAGGGTCCTCGGCCCGGCCCAGACCTGGGTCCGGAGCGTGCGGGAGCTGACCCCCGCGTCCCTAGCGCTGGCCACCCGGGCGCCCAGGGGGCCCTCTCACCTGCTGGGCGGCCGCCTGCGCCGGGGCGGGGGGCTGCGGGGGGCCGCCGTACGCGCTGCCGGCCCCGGAGCTCGGTCCGGGTTCCCCGAAGTCTCGGAACATGCCCTGGGCTGGCTGCTCGGTGGGGTCCGCGTCGGCAGCTTGGGTTCTGACTCACGCGCGCCTCGCGGAGTCTTTTCTTTTTATGAATGAAAAGTTCTCGGGCTGAACCACTCCGACCGCGGGAGGTGGGGGCGTTTCGCCGCGGCGCCGGTCACCTCAGGGCTCCACCTCTCCAGACGCGCCGCCTTTTGCCCGTCCGTCCCGAACTTTTCGACGCCTCCTACGGCCGGGCAGCCGCCTTTTGGTGGGGAAAAGGGCAGACTCGGCGTCCCCCACCCGCGGCGGCACGCCCCCTCTGACGTAGCTGCCCATATATGGTGCAACTTCCTCGCCACGCCCAGGTGGAGTCGAGGATTCCCCGCGGATTTACCACCTGAGGGACCGCGCGCCCCGCCCGGCCCGGCCCGCGCCGGCCGCGCCCCGACCCCTCACCGCCTGGCGGGCCTCCGTTTCTGCCTCCGCGAAACAGGACGAAATAATCGCATAGCTACCTTGCGCGTGGGGGTTTGGAAATGAATGTGAAAGCGGCCTGGAAAGTGTAATGTGGATTGTAAATGTGACGGGTTATTATTATTATTTACTGAATGCTTATTTCATGCCAGGAACCATACCAAGTGCCACCCAAGGTTTCCTGGAATGAAGACCCTCCACTGGCATTGTTTTAAGGCCTCAAGTCACTAAAAAGTGAATAAATTTCGAACCAGGGTTACAAAAATTGTGATATATTTAAAATCTTTACAATAAACAAGGTAATGCTTTGAACTACCCACAAATATAATGCAATGTAATTGCGTTACTCAGGATAATCTCAGGAGCCATAGCAAGTTTTAATTCAGGGCTCCTACAGGCAGTGAGAGCCTGTAGTGGGACACACGCATTCTGAGGTCTGACAAATGCCATCTTTACTGTCACTTCCTTTCCAGAGCTGTGGTCACCAGCTTGGAGATTGTGTCAAAGGTCCGCGTGGATGTGAGGCCATGGTCAAATGTGCTTGGAAGGTAGGTACCATCATCATCCCCATTTTACAGATGGGGAAACTGAGGCTAAGAACTGTTGAAAGGAATTGTTCAAGGTCGCTAAGTGAGTGGTTCAAGCAGGTTGTCAAGTTAGGGCTGTGGGAGCTCCAAGTCCAGGCTCAGCCAAGATTTTTCAAAGCCCTCACAGCTGCCCAGACACCTTTTCACGCATGCAAAAGGGTACTGCTGAGAGCACCCTCCCCAAACTTCCTTTCTGCTTCCTCCCATTTTATAGATGAAGAAACTGAGGCCGAGAGAAAGGAGCTGCCAGTGTTATATAACAACAGAAAAGAGGGTTGGGCTTTCCTTCTTTTCCATCAGTACCTGCGTTTGATTGGCTCCAGTTTTGCCATCAGGGAAGTAGGGTCCTGGGCTGCCTTCATTGGGAACAGAAGCCAGGGGTCAGGAGGCCAGCTTGGCTCCGGTCCTAGTCCCAGAGCTACCATGTTCTGTCTGTGTGACCCTGGGCAGGTCACCTTCTTTCTAAGTCCCAGTCCCAATTGTGCCTTCCTGCTGACCTCACGGGGCTTTTGTGGGATCAAATGAGATCATAAATGTGAAAGTGCTTTGTAAGCTGTAAGGTGCTGTGCACTCAGAAGGTAGTTACCATCCTGGTGCCTCTCCCTTGCCCTTGTTCTACTCAACGTTTGTCTTCCTCTAAAAGGAAAAGAAACTACAGCAGTTTACCACCATGAGAAATATAGGGGTGTGTGTGTATGCAAGAGAGAGAGGGGGATTTTTTCAGGCAGTGTGACCCATGGAAAGAACATGCATTGTGCAGTCAGACAACTCTGGGTCGTGGGTTTGAATTCTGGTTAGGCTGCTCACCAGTTGTGTGACCTAGATAAGGTACACAATCTCTCAAAGCCTTGATTTCTTCATCTGTAAAATGGAGATATAATGATAAGTATATCTTAGGGTTATTGGAGGGCAGAAATAAAATAATGCCATATGCTTAACACAGCACATAGTAAGAATTTGACAATAGTAGCAAAAATAAATTCATATGTTAATAAAAGGCTCCAGGGGTGGGAGTTCTTGAGACTCCAACCACACGTTAAGGCACTCATGGAGCATGTACACACACACACACACACACACACACACACACACTGACTGGATCCGAACTCCTTGGCTGAGCGCAAACCAGACAGGTCAGGGGTGACAAAGGCAGCCAAATGGTGGCATATATGTGGCCTGACACATGTCAGCCTTGGCTACATTCACCTGCCTGCTACATTCACCCTGTCCCCTGCCCCCAAGCAGTCTGGGGCAGCTGGCAGAGCAGGGGCTCAGGTCTCAAATTGTGTGTGTGTGTGTGGAGTGATTACATGACTTTGAAAGTCCCTTCCTGCTCTAACCGTTGGTGGAGCCACAAGGAGGTCCTTTCAGAGGCAGCACATTCCAAGCTCCTCAGTCACTAACTCCCGCCTTGTGGCCTCAGAAACGTTCCCAGTCCCTGACCTCACCAGCTCCCACCCAGGGAGACCAGGAGAGAACCGCAGGGGGCCACAGTGATTGCTGGGAGTCTGGGGGCAGGGAGGCCTGAAAGACCCTGGTACTGTCCCTTGGTAGCTGTGAGACTGGCTCAGTCACTGCTCCTTGCTGGGCTCCATAGAATCCCCACCTCTTGGGGCTGCAGGGAGAGAGAGAGGGGCTTGGCACCCAGTGGGCTCTCAGTGCCACCAGGATACTGGAGGTGATGTTTATGTTTTCCAGTTTCTATTCACTCTTATAATTGAAGTTTATTTTTTTAATTGAGGTGAAATTATTAATAATGCAACATGCAATTAACCATTTTAAAGTGTGCACTATGGTGGCATTTAGTGCATTTACAATGTTGTGCAACCACCACCTTTCTTTAGTTTCAAATTTTAACACCCCAGAAAAACACCCCATACCTATGAAGTAATCACTCCCTATTTCCCCCTTCCCCCAGCCCCTGGTAACCACTAATCTTCTTTCTGTCTCTGTGGATTTTCCTGTTCTGAGAATTTCATGTAAATGGAATCACACATTACATGGTCTTTTTTGTCTGACTTCTTTACCTAGCATAACTTTTTTCCAGGACTCGTTCCTGTTGTAGCATGGATCAGTACTTGTTTGCTCTTTATGGCTGAATAATACTCCATGGTATGTATGTACCATGATTTTTTATTTATTCATAAGTTGCTGGATGTTGGGTTTGGATTATTCCCACTTTTTGGCTATTATGAATAAGGCTGCTGTGGACATTTGTGTACAAGTTGTTGTGTTGGACATATGTTTTCATTTCTCTTGAGTATATACCTAAGATTGCAATTGCTGGGTCATACAGTAATCTTTTGAGGAACTGCCAGAATGTTTTACAAAGTGACTGTACCCATTTATATTTCCACCAGCAATATATGAGGCTTCTAATTTCTCCAAACTTTTGCCAACCCCACTTGTTATTTTCCGTTTTTTAAATTAGAGACATCCTAGATGGTGTGTTTTGATTTGCATTTCCTTAGTGACCAATGGACATCTTCTCATGTGCTTTTACTTCGTGTGTATATCTTTTTTGGACAGATGTCTATTCAAATCTTTGCCCATTTTTAATTTTTTTTCTTTTTAAAAATCCCCTTCATAAATTAAGGTGTTTTTTTTATGTTGAGTTATACTCAATTCTTTATGTATTCTGGATACTAAGCCCTTATCAGATCTATGATTTGCAAACATTTTCTCACATTCTGTAAGTTGTCTTTTCACATTCTTGATAATGTCCTTTGATGCACAAAAGTTTAAAAGTTTTTTTATAAAGTCAAATTTATCTATTTTTTGTTGTTGTTGCTCATGCTTTAAGTGTCAAATGCATGAATTCGTTACCAAATCCAAGGTCATGACGACTTACCCCTATGTTTTTATTCTGAGTTGTATAGTTTTAGCTCTTAGATTTAAGTTGTTGATTAAGTTGAAATGTAATATACATACGACCAATATGTGTACCTCAGTGAATTTTTACCTGTGGAGAGCCATGTAGCTACCACCTTTATCAAGATAGAGGATATTTCCAGCAGTCCGGAGGGCTCCTTGTGTCCCTTCCAGTCACTATGCCCGACCCATAGGTAACCATTATTCTGACTTCTATCATCATAGATTAGTTTTGTCTGTTCTTGAACCTCATATAAATGGAACCATATGGTGTGTACTCTTTTGGGTCTGGCTTCTTTTACTCAACATGTCTGTGGGATTCATCTACAATGTTGAGTGAACCAGTAGTGTGGTCTTTGTTATTGCTGTGTAGCATTCCATTGCATGGATACTCCACAATTGGTCTCTCCATTCTCCTGCCAGTGACTTGAGGGCCCTTCCAGTTTGGGACTAGTATGACTAAGGCTGCTGTGAGCATTCTTGATATGTCCTTTAGTGGCGAGTTGCCCTCCTTTCTCTTGGCTGTTTCTCTGGGGGGAATTATTGGGTCATAGGGTAGGTGCATGCTGGGCTTTAATTGATTCTCATCAACACTTCTCCAAAGAGGGTGTACCGTTTACCTCCCACCAGCATTATTCAGTGGGTAAGAGCTCCAGGTGCTCCGCTTCTGGAGATGACGTTTGTTTTTTGTTTTTTTGTTTGCTTGTTTGTTTTTGAGACAGGGTCTCACTTTGTTGTCCGGGCATGAGGGCAGTGATGTGATCATACCTCACGGCAACCTCAAACTCCTGAGCTCAAGTGACCCTCCTGCCTCAGCCTCCCAAATAGCTGGGACTACAGGCATGCACCACCACACCTGGTTAATTTTTCTATTTTTTATAGAGATGGGTTTTTGCTGTGTTGCTCAGGCTTGTCTCGAACTCCAGCCTCGGACTCCTGAAGTGCTAGGATGACAGGCGTGAGCCATCTCACCCAGCCTGGAGATGACATTTGAATTCATTTCAAGAAACATTTCTTTTCCTTGGTCCTGGCCCCATCCTCTTTCTCCTGAACACCTTTCACGGAGCTGGGGGCTGTGAAAGGCGTTCAGGAGAGAGAGGCCTGAGGCCGGGGAAGGGGTGGGGTGAAGATGTGTGATGTATCCTATGTGCTTTTTTTTTTTTTTTTTTTTTGAGACAGAGTCTAGCTTTGTTGCCAAGGCTAGAGTGAGTGCCGTGGCGTCAGCCTAGCTCACAGCAACCTCAAACTCCTGGGCTCAAGCAATTCTTCTGCCTCAGCCTCCCAAGTAGCTGGGACTACAGGCATGTGCCACCATGCCCAGCTAATTTTGTCTATATATATTAGTTGGCCAATTAATTTGTTTCTATTTATAGTAGAGACAGGGTCTGGCTCTTGCTCAGGCTGGTTTCGAACTCCTGACCTTGAGCAATCCGCCCGCCTCAGCCTCCCAGAGAGCTAGGATTACAGGCGTGAGCCACCGCGCCCGGCCCTTACGTACTTTTATGTTGCATGTTGATTGGGAGGCTTGAGGGGCTAAGAGGATAACACGAGTTGCTTTTACTCATGAATTCTGATCAACCAGGCACTGTTCAAAGTAATCTATTTAAGCCTCCCAACAATCCTGTGAGATAGATAATATTATAATAATATACCCATTTTACAGATTAGAAAATGGACGCACAGAGAAACTTTTAGCAGCTTGCCAAAAGCCACACAGCAAGGAAGTTCTTTCCTGTCCCTTTGCAGTCAATTCTCCCATCCCAGGAAATCACTTAGCTCATTTCTATTGTCATCAATTAGTTTTGTCTCTTGTAGAATTTCACATCAATGAATCATACAGCATGTGCTCCTTTGGGTTTGGCTTCTGTCTCCCATCATTGTCTGTGAGGTTCATCATGTTGCCCTGTGTGGCAGCAGTTGACTCCTTTTTATGGCTAATATCCCATTCCATGGATGTACCACACTTTCTTTTCTTTTTTTTTTTTTTTAAGACAGGGTCTCACTCTGTCGCTCAGGCTAGAGTGCCGTGGTGTGAGCCTAGCTCACAGCAACCTCAAACCCCTGGGCTCAAGCAATCCTCCTGCCTCAGCCTCCCAGAGTGCTAGGATTACAGGTGTGAGCCACCATGCCTGGCCCTTCTTTTCTTTTTCTTTTTCTTTTCCCATCCCCCTCCCCCTCCTTCCCTTCCTTTCCCTTGCCTCCCTCCTTCCCTTCCCTTCCCCTCCCTCTCTTCCTCTTTCTTTCTCCCTCCCTCCCTCTCTCTCTCCCTCCCTCCCTCTCTCTCTCTTTCTCTCTTTCTTTCTTTCTTTCTTTCATTCTTCTTTCTTTCTTATCTTTCTCTCTTTCTCTCTTTTTCTTTCTTTTATTTTGAGACAGGATCTCGCTCTGTTGCCCAGGCTGGAGTGCATTGGCAAAATCATGGATCACTGCAACCTCAACCTTAGGGCTTAAGTGATCTTCCCACCTCAGCCTCCCTAGTAGCTGGGACTACAGGTGTGCACCACCACACCCGGCTAATTTTTTTAGTTTTTGTGGAGATGGGGTTTTGCTGTGTTGCCCAGGCTGGTGTCAAACTCCTGGGCTCGAGTGATCCTCCTGCCTTGGCCTCCTGAAGTGCTTGGATTTATAGGTATGAGCCACCTCACTAGGTCACACTTTCTTTATTCATTCTCCTGAGCAAATTGACTCAGGATTAAAATTAAAAGTTGAATGGAGCCAGATGTGGGGGTGGTGGAGAAGATTAAAGACTTGGTCCTGGCCACAAGGCACTTACAGTTCAGAGAAGTGGTGAGACACTCAGGAGAACAGTCTTGGTGCTAGCGAGACAGTGCTGGGGGCAGGGCCCAGAGAGGGTTAGTTTCATTACAAGAACCCCAGGAAAGAAGAATTCTTGCCAAGTGAGTGCGAGAAGGCTTCCTGGCAGAGGAGGATTTGAGATTGGGGTAGACATTCATAAAAAGTGGGGCTCACTTCCCCACACCAGCCACCTCTCCAGCCCTTGTCAGTCCCTTTCCATCTGGAAGCCTCAGTTTCCCCTTCTTGCAGATCAGTGGTTTACATAGTGTGCTCTCTAAAACCAGAGGTTTCAGTGGAGCTCCCTGGAGTGGTCATCGGGCCCTCATCCCTGCTCTGGTCAGCATGGCTCAGGAGGCACTTGGGTTCACAGCATGAGTTCTGGGTCAGATGGCCTGGGTTTGAATCCCAGCTCAGCCGCTTGCTGGCTGGGGAACCTGGGCAATTTGCTTACCTTCTCAATGCCTCCATTTCCTCATTTATAAAAAGGGTATGATAGTATTTGTAACTGCTTTTTGGGGTTGTTGGGGGGAGTAAATGAGACCCCACATGGATAGTGCTGAGCATGACACCAGTACAGTAAGGGATCAATAAATGTAAGTATTTTCTTGCTGTTACATTTTCTGCTATATGGACAATTTCCTCTGAAGGGAAGTGTTAGGGGCTCTGCTGTCAGTGCCCAGGATGGCTCTGCCCACTCAGCCTGGCCCTTAAGTTTCTTAGAGTGTCTCCTCCTCCCTGCAGACCCAGGCCCAGGACAGCTGGAGCCTGTCACCCAGTTCTTGGGCTCACCTAACCCTCAGACCTGGGACTTCCCCTCCCTCCCATCCCCCAGGCTCCTGAGAGCTGGCCCTTTGTCCTCAAGGGTGCCAGCTCTTGCTCTGGGCCAGGAGTGGGATGAAATCCCTCATCCTGGGATGAAAGGCTGGCAGGCCTGGGCTGGGCCAATAAACTGCCCCACCCATGCTGGGAGGACCTCTGGGCACCCGTGTAAACTGAGTCATGGGGGGCGAGGGGGTGAGTCACGCAGCCTGTGAGTGGGAGCCAAGTGGGGCAGAGCTGGCCTGCGTGGGGTCCCTGGCCACACCTCACAGGGCTGCCACCCAGCCCCCCTCTGACCCAGCAGGCCCCAGCCCAGGGCAGAGGGGAGCAGGGCCAGCCCGGGCTCCCTGAGGGGCAGGAGCCTGGGGGCTGGACTCCCAGTGTACACGCATGCGCCTGCGTGTGCGTGCGTGTGTGCGCGTGTGTCATATGTTGTGAGGGGCGGGTGGCAGACAGGAAAGGGAGGCTCTGACTCGGGAGGAAAGGATTGGGGTTTGGAAAAGACTCAAAGCCCTCTAGAGAGATTTTGGCAGGAATGCTTCGCTGCCCTCTCCTGGCCTGGGAGGGTTTGGCTGATTTTTCTGCAGGAGCCAACTTTAGCGGAAGTGAGAGTCAGTGACCTGTCTGTCCTCTAGGGTCTCCAAAGGGCAGAGGGTGGAAGATCCCCAGAAACCAATTCAGACTTCACCCCAGGTGGGCCCCTGTCCCAGGGGCCAGAGCTGCTCAGGGACCAGGGACTCGCTCCCTGCCACACAGGTGTGTATACTACACTTGGGAGTTGTGGAGGCTGCCGGAGCATTTCTAGCCTTGACCTTGGTCAAATTACTTACCTCTTTCTGCCTCAATTTCTTTATCAGTAAAAGGAGGACTGTGAGGACCGAAATGAGTTAATGCATATAAACTGCTTAGAGTATGCTTGGTGCAGAGTAGGTCCGTGTACATGTTCGTCTTATTATTTGAGCCTCAGTTTTCTTATCTATAAAATGGGAGAGAAAGGACGCCTGAGGTGGCCTTTGTCCAGCTCTCACTCTGCTTCCAGTTTCTGGTTTTATTCCCCTAGAAATTGCCCTCTAGGCCCTGCCACCCTGTCTGACTTTATCCCTCCGTCTGGCCTGAGTTTTCTTCTCCCCCCACCCAACCAAAGAAAGATGGAGTTGGGGGGCTTCTCAGCGGGGTGCCTTAGGTTTGCCCTGGGTGCCTAGGGGCATGCTCGTCAGAGAAGTGGGGAGTTTTCCTCTTCAGATGAATCAGCTGCTGACCCAACCCTCTTCCCTGCCAGGGCCCCTCCCAGCAGGCGGGAGCCGGGTGCAGCTGCCCCACCGGGAAAATCCCCAAAATCCTGCCAAAGCTCTGGCTGAAGTGTTCTCCCTACTCAGCTGTTTCCTGTTCTCCCTGATTCTGCCCGAGTCCCAGCTGGAGTCAGGGGTCAAGCAGAGATTCCCCCCCACACACACACACACAGCCCCTCTGGTGCCTCCTCCCTGGGGTCTGGGGGTTTGTGGTGTGAGAGGGGGTGGGGAGGGGGGCTGACTTCTTTTCCTGATCTCAGCCATCCTCCCCCTGGTTTTATAAAAGAAGCAGAGCACAAGGGTTGTCAGAGTTTGCTCAGCCCACCATGGGCCTAAGGCACTTCCCTGCTCCCCTGTAGGAGGGGCCGGCCAAATGGGGCAGAACCCTCTGGCAGCCTGATGGGGTGGGTTTTGGGGGACTGTTGACCTAGCAGGAGAGCAGTACCCACTGTAGACCCGGGAGACCGCTTCCTGCCCAGGTAGCTTAGTCATTGCACTCTCTGGGCCTCATTTTTTTCATCAATAAAAAAAGGGAATCCCAGTTTTGGCCCAGCCTCTCTTCCAGGTGGTTCTGAGGACACAAACTGTGTGCTTTACAAATCAGATCTGAAGCCCTTGAGGGATCTCATCTATCTTTGCAGCCCCCCCACTGCCTGCACTTTCGCACAGTGAGGGCTCAACAGTGCATTGGATGCTCTGGAGTTGGGTGACTTGGGTTTGAATCTTTTTTTTTTTTTGAGACAGAGTCTCGCTTTGTTGCCAAGGCTAGAGTGAGTGCCGTGGCGTCAGCCTAGCTCACAGCAACCTCAAACTAACTCCTGGGCTCAACCAATCCTCCTGCCTCAGCCTCCCGAGTAGTTGGGACTACAAGCATGTGCCACCATGCCCGGCTAATTTTTTCTATATACATTAGTTGGCCAATTAATTTGTTTCTATTTATAGTAGAGAAGGGGTCTCGCTCTTGCTCAGGCTGGTTTCGAACTCCTGACCTTGAGCAATCCGGCCGGCCTCGGCCTCCCAGAGTGCTAGGATTACAGGCGTGAGCCACCTCGCCGGGCCGGGTTTGAACTCTTTTGAGACAGAGTCTCACTCTGTTGCCCAGGCTACAGTGAGTGCCGTGGCGTCAGCCTAGCTCACAGCACCTCAATCTCCTGGGCTCAAGCAATCCTTTTGCCTCAACCTCCCGAGTAGCTGGGACTACAGGCATGCCACCATGCCTGGCTAATTTTTTCTATATATTTTTAGTTGTCCAGCTAATTTCTATTTTTTAGTGGAGACAGGGTCTCGCTCTTGCTCAGGCTGGTCTCCTAATTTCGAGCGATCCTCCCGCCTCAGCCTCCCAGAGTGCTAGGATTACAGGCACGAGCCACTGCACCCGGCCTTGGGTTTGAATCTTGGCTCTACCACTTACTTACTAGCTTTGTAACCTTGAGCCAATTATTGAACTTTTCTGGGCCTCAGTTTCCTCTTCTGCAAAATGGCAGCAATAATGAGCCATGTAAAGCTCAGATGAGATGATGTGGGTAAATGCTTAGTGCAATGTCTGGCTCTTGTTATGAACAGAAGGAGGAACCTGAGACCCAGAGAGAGAGCGGCTTTCATTCAATCACTCATTTATTCAAGAATGTTTATTTGGCACCTGCACTAGGCTGGGCCCTCTGCTGGATGCTGAAGACACTCTGAAAGAGTGTCAAAGCACAGCCACTGTCCTTGAGGGGCCCCAGACCCACAGGTAAGAACCACAGGTGGGCAGGTATTGTGGGAGCCTGGGGATGTGCCTGACACTTGGGGTGAAAATGGATGGGGGAGGATCCTGGAGAATGACACCTGAGCCAGTGGGCCTGCCATGTGGCGTCAGCCAGGAAAGTGGACGGGGTCAGGCATGCCAAGCAGAGGCTACGGCACAAGCGAAGGCACGGAAGTGAGAAAGGCCAGTGTGTGGGCAAGAAAATCATAGCAGCTCATGATTTTGGAACAAGACAGGCAAAGCTGGCAGTGGAGATGAGGCAGAAGGGCTGGATCTGAGTTGTCAATTACTTCATTCATTCGCTTAATAATTAATGGCGAGATTGCTCTGGCCAAGCACTGTGCTAGGCTCTGGGGACAGGGCTGAGATTGGGACATTCTTCCTGCCTTCACGGAGTGCTGAGCCTGGGCATGTGGCTTAGGGACCAGCAAGAGATAGACATCAATCAATCCATTACATAAGTAACTACACTGTCCTGTGATCAATGGTGCAAGGCAGGTGTTTGAGCAAAAGGAACAGCCTGAGGCGGAGGGCTGCAAGCCAGGGGGTGAAGGAAGTGCCAGATGGCTTCGACAGGGGGAGCACAGGCCGAAAGGGGTGCCTGAGGGAAGCTGGGGCAATCATTGGGGGCTAGGTGAAGGCCAACCCAGGAGAGTGGACTCTCTTCTGCAGGCTGTGGGGAGCCACAGAAGAGCCTTGGGCAGGAGCTCTGCAAGTGTGATCCGCTGACCTGGCTGTGGGGGAAGAGAGGGACCATGGGGGAGGGATGGAGGAGGCAAGTTGGAGGCTGTTGAGGTGGCCTGGGAGGGTGAGGAATGGGCTAAGGCAGGGCCACGGGGATGGAGAGGAAGGGACAACCTGCAACATGCTTACTTACTGGAGAACTAGGTGCTGTTGACATCATTTGGGCATCTCTGAGGTACCCATGAAGTGCCTTGGCCCACTCTGGTCAAAGGCAAGGCACTGATAGTCTCAGGGAGGCAGGGTATCAGGCTCCAACTTGGAGACCACCCAGCTCTGGGGCTTTCTAAGGCTGGGCAGAGGGGTACTCAGCCCTGGGGAAACTTAGGGTGGGGAGGAAGCTGGAGAGGGTGTTGAGCCAGCATCTCATGATTCAGCCACTTCCACCCAGTCAGCCCAGTGGCATCTCCGCTCCTCTGCTCCAAATTCCAATTTGATGAGGCTGCTGGAGGCTGAGTCAGCTCCTGCACGGCACGAGAGCAGTGTCCCAAGGGGCTCTCTGCCAGACACCCTGGCCCCCAACCAAGGCCAGGTCCAGGCATGGGGTTAATGTGGGGGTGCAAGAGCCAGGCTCCCACAGGCTACAGCAAGTCTCAGTAGGGCGGCCCCACGAGGTCACATGAGTGAACGTGCTTTGTGAGTTGTAAAGAGCTAACTGTGGGTGGTTTTCTCAGCGAGGTCAGGGAGCATACTCATGCTGAGGAGGAAGGGACTGTGAAGTAAGTACTAGCTCTGCTGGACTCACTGCATGACCCTGAGAAAACTCCTTTCCCCTCTTTGCCTCAATTCCTTTGACCACAGAATGGGGCCTACATGTCCTAGAGGTTGTGAAAATTAAATGATGCATATGGAAGTGCTTTGCAAACTGTTCAGTGACCACTATGATGGTCAGGGTGGTAGGAAAGGAGAGTATAAACACCAGGGCTTCCAGAGACACCACCTATGGTTGTGCAGGTTGTTCACCGCACAAGGACGTCCAACCTAGGGTGCTGAAATCCAGCCCATCCTCTGCTCATCAAACCACGTGCTCCGACCTAGGACTGCCAGGACCAGAAAGCACCTTTCTCTAACATGCACAAATGCACCCTGTGGGCCAGTAGTGGCCCCTTGGACCTTCCTGGAAGGGCCAATCGCTAGATTTATGGGAAGTCACTGAGAAACTGATTCTGATTCTTGGGATGGAGGGAAGTGGGGCTGACTTCACAGAGGTTCTCAGAGGAGTCCAGGCTCAGCAGTGAGGCACATCTCATTATTGGGGGCAGAGAGGGTGGTCTGGCCAGGTCAAGGGGCAGTCTCTCCTGACCCTGCCTCCCCCTAGCAACCAAAGCAGGTAATCACCAAGACAGTATTTTAAAAAACACTCAAGACACAGACCCAAGCTGGGTTTTATTGAAATACCAAGAGCAGGCACATGTCAAGGTAGCCAAGGAAGGGAGGAAGGTGGTGCAGGCTGTGTGAGTTGGCAGGGAGGGGCAGGCCCCATGCCCACGGCCCTGGCATCCCCTCTCTGACAGGGGATGAGTGGGCATAACTACCCCACTCCCCACAATGGCATGCTCAGGCCTGCAGGGCCCTTGTCCCCTGGACTATGAAGGCTCCAAGGAGAGGGACTGGAAGCACTAACTTTACCCCCTTGTGAGGGAGGAAGGAAAGAAAAGGAGAACGCAGGAGGAAGGGGAGGTATAGCTGGGATGAAGGTGGCCAAGGAAGGCTCTCCTCTTAGGTGTCTGCACCCAAACTGTGGTCCTGGGCAATAGAGGGGAGCAGCATTGAAGAGGAAAGCTGAGGGCTTGGCCTGCAGGGAGCCAGAGCCCCCAGCCTGTAGGAGGTTGAGTCAGCCCTGAACAGAGGGCAGAAGTTCAAGGGGATTGAAGATGCAGGCAGTTCCCAAGTGACCTAGTCGCCAGAGCTGAGGGGCTTAGCCTTCTTGGGACAAGGAGAAGGAAGACAGGAGGATCCATCCCCAGCATCGGGGCAGAGGGTAGTCTCTCTCACTTGACCCCACTAGGTCAGTTCCACATTGTTGGCGCGGTCCAGAACCCGGGAGCCCCGGGCACTGCCCCCAAGCTGGAAACGGCTCTCATAGAGAGTGGGGCAGAGGTGCCAGCGGTTGGCCCGGTAGATGCCCAGGTAGGTGTAGACATCAGGCTTGTAGGTGAGCAAGCACTTAATGCCTGCTGCACGAATGGCTGAATCTGCCTCCAGTACACCCAAGCGGTCCGTGAAGTCATCTGTGTAAACACAGATGACCTGGCGCCCACCCTCCCTGGCCCGAGGGCTCACCTTGGCCACCTGAAGCCGGCCCTCCACCACAGCCCGGGCAATGCCAGCCCAGGCGTGGTCCAGCTTGAATCCAGGTGCCAGGTGCATCAGCCACTTGCCTGAGAGCACATGGTGAGTGATGGCCAGCTGGCGCAGGGTAGCTGGTGTGATGGGCCTCCCACTGGTCTGCAGAGCTTCCCAGGCTGCCTGCAGGCCCTGCACGTCACCTGAGTTGGGGGTGTAGCCCTGCCCATATGCTGCGATCCAGCCCACAGGCTCAGAGTTGGGTGAACCGGGGTCCCCATAGCGCGTAACTTGGGATGGCGGGTACTTGGCCAACCAGGCATCCAGCTCGGTGGCAGGCGTGGTGCGGGCATCAAACACCAGCCAGGGGTCCATGTCAGCTGCCATGGCCTCCGCGGCCAGGTGCTCAGCGGTGAAGCCATCCTCACGGCCACCTGGAGAATCCTCCTCCTCCAGCTCCTCACCTGGCTCCATCCTGCTGTGAGGGAACTGAGTCAGGGCAGGTCTGAGACAATATGGCTTGCTGGGGCCTAGGGGTGCCAGGCACTGGACTTAACTGTGTGGCCTTGGGCAAGACTTAATGTCGCTGTGCCTCAGTTGCCTAATCCTTACATTGGGATAACAACTGTTCCTGTCTAGTAGATCTGTTGTGAAAATTAGATGCCTGAGGAGCAGTGAGCACTACTTAAGCGCTGTTGCTATTCTTACTACTACTCTCCGTTACTCTCACCCAAGGAAACGAGCTCAGAGAAAAGAGACTGGCCCAAGGTCACACCTATAGTGACTGGCAGGACCAAAATGTGAATTCAGGTGTGAAAACCACCGCCCCTAGTACACCTGGCCAGGTATCCCGGAGCACTGGGATTTAACAGAGGAAAATAAGCGCACGTTCGTGCAGCTCCCGAGGCAGGCCCTGTAGGGCCAGGCCTCCCAGGCGAGCGTTATCAGGCCCACTTACGGACGAGGACACTGAGGCCCAGAAAGGGCACTGGCCAGCCCGAGGCCAATGGGGCGGTGCCCGGACTCGAACCCGACTTGTTAGAGCTTACAGAAGGGCCAGGCACCGGCTCTGCCGCGCCTGCCGCCATTAGTGCCCACAGCCCAATCTGTGCCCCCGCCCCGGCCCTGCCCCTCCCGCGGCCCGCAGTCACCTCCGGCCTTCGCTGCGTTCGACGCCGGCCCAGCTCCGGGCCCGGCTCCGCTCCTGCCGGGGATCTGCGCCGCCGCCGCCGCCGCCGCCGCCGCCGCCGCCGCCGCGCCCCGCCCCCGCCACGGCTGCAGCCGCCGCCGCCATCTTAGCGCTCCGCCGCAACAACAACTTTATAGACAAGTGCGGCCACGGGGCGGAGCCACCAGGCCGGATCGGCTGCGCCGCGGGGCGGGGCCGGCAGGGGAAGGGGCGGGGCTGTCCAGGGCGGTGCTGACCCCGGGGGCGGGACCATCGGGGAACGCAGGGCGGGGCGGCTTTGCGGGGGGGCGGGGCTAACGTTCGCTCTCTTGGCCTTGGGGGCGGGCGGGAGAGGCGGTCTCGTTGGGGACAAACGCGCACCGCGGGGAGGCTCCAAGGAGGGGAGGGCACTTGGGCCTTGCTAGTGTCGTCTTAACCGGTGGCGCTAGGACCCGTAGGGAGCGGCGGGGGCGGAGCGGTCGGCACCAGGACCCGGGGGAACTGCGGCGGGCGGGCAGCGAGTAGGCCCGGGGGCCGGGAGGCTGCGGGCGGCGGCGCTGGGCCCGGCGCGGCGAGAGAGGCCCCAGGATGCCGAGCAAGAAGAAAAAGTACAACGCGCGGTTCCCGCCGGTGAGCACGTGGCCGAGACGGGCAGGAGCGGGCCCGGCTCCGGGGAAGGCTTGGGCCCGGGCCCGGCTGGGGGGGCGGGCGCATCTAGGTGTTCGGGGGCCTGGACGCCCCGCCCCCTTCTGTGCCCTCCTCGCGTCCCCCGCCCCCTTTCCCCGGGATACCCCTCTTGCTTCCCCCTGCAACCCTTTCTGGGACGAAGGCTACGGGGTCCGAACTCTGCCCACCCCCACCCAGGCGCGGATCAAGAAGATCATGCAGACGGACGAAGAGATTGGAAAGGTGGCGGCGGCTGTGCCTGTCATCATCTGTATCCTGGCGAGGGGCTGGCCGGGTTGAGGGGCGTGGGGGAGGGAGGCAGCTCGGGTCGCCCTCCCTCCCCCTCGCCTCCGCGTTCTCCTTGACGCCCCTCAGCCCGGGCGCTCGAGCTTTTCCTGGAGTCGCTGTTGAAGAAGGCCTGCCAGGTGACCCAGTCCCGAAACGCCAAGACTATGACTACATCCCACCTGTGAGTGGCCGCGAAGCTGGAAGGGTCCGGTGGTGCCCTGCCCGAGGAGTTCACACACTTAGAAGAGGAGTGCTCTGGTAGTGAGGGAGGTGGGAGGCTACTGGGGGACCAGGAAGGCCTCAAAGACTGCTGGGTTTGGACTGGTGGAGGCGGGCTTGGGCGTTCTGGGCGGAGGGAACAGCCTAAGCGAAGTCGGGGAGGTCCCGGTGTGGTAGAGATGGGCGGGGTTTTTCCAGGCTCCATACTCCTGACATCAGGGCCCCCTGCTGCCCCCTGCTAAGGGCCTACGTGTCTGGGCACCTCTTGAGTGCTGTCACCTCCCACTTCTTCCAGGAAGCAGTGCATTGAACTGGAGCAGCAGTTTGACTTCTTAAAGGACCTTGTGGCATCTGTGCCTGACATGCAGGGGGATGGAGAAGACAACCACATGGATGGGGACAAGGGTGCCCGCAGGTAGGGGGCCAGAGCCAGGTGTACAGTGGGGAAAGCCAAGACCCATGGTGGTTAGGGGTGGCTGGGGGTAGCCAAGGAGTGTGGAGACCTCTGGGCAGATGGACTGTACCTTCCTGAAGGGGCCGGAAGCCAGGCAGCAGCAACCGGAAGAATGGTGGAATGGGAAGCAAAGGGAAGGACAAGAAGCTGTCGGGGACAGACTCGGAGCAGGAGGTGAGTGAAACCCCAACCCTTTGTCCTGGCCCATGATGGCAGAAAGGGCAGCCTTGAATCAGGCTGAACTGGCTAGAAACCTGGTTTTATCCTTGTCTGTGACCACTTTGCACCTTGGTTTCTTTGTTTGTTCATTGGGGCTATGGGGTCTACTCCCGTCCCTGCTACCCCTAGGGTTCCAGGTTCCCCAGTGATGGCTTCATGCTTTTTCTTGTCAACTCTGACCCCTGCTGTGCTCATGCTCACAGGATGATTCTGAGGATACAGATACTGACGGGGAAGAGGAGACACCACAGCCCCCACCCCAGGCCAGCCACCCCCCTGCCCACTTTCAGAGGTAAGCAGCCCAGTGGCACCAGGAGGGTGCTAGCAGACTCCCCAAAGCTGGCTTGTCCCTCCTGTTCTCCCTGGCCACTTGGTTTTGTTAATTGTGGCAGATTTGGGGGATGGAAGGGGAATAACTGAGGAGGGTTTAAAGGCAGGGACTGTTCTCTCACAAGATCCTGTCCCCAGGCTGGCCAGGGGCAGTGGGTGGGGCCTGGGCAGGGGCTGTGTGACCTGCTCTGGGCCCTGCGTTTCTTTGGGGCTTGGCTCCCTGTTGGTCCAGGGTCTCTGTGGTGGTCCGGCAGGGCTGAGGCCTGAATGCCTCTCCGGGTTTCTGCCCTGCAGCCCTCCAACACCCTTCCTGCCCTTCGCCTCCACTCTGCCTTTGCCCCCGGCACCCCCAGGCCCCTCGGCACGTGACGCAGAGGACGAAGAAGATTATGACTCCTAGCACCCTCTGCCCCCCAGGCCGTACCCCCTTTTAGTTGGTTTTAGTTGTTCTGGGGGGAGGAGAGAAGATAAAATTGATCTTAAATTTATTAATAAAACAGTAATAAAAGAGTATCTCAGTGTTCGTCTTAGCTTTTGTTCAGGGTTTTGTGACTGCTCTCTATCCACCCACCTGCCTTCCCCACAGTGCTGGGGTCAGAGACAGTGGTTGGCCAGGTAGCAGCTGAGTGGAGGGAGGTGTCTTCCCGGGAGGCTGGAGGCCACGGCTCTGCCAGGACAGCACCAGCGGTGCCAGAGGAGGGAAGATGGGAGAGGGCAGGGCCTGAGCTGGCAGGTGCTGGGTGTGCTGGGTTACCTGCCTCACTGTCCTGTGTGCCCCTGGGCAGGCTCGTGTTCTCTGAGCAGCCTCTCCTCGTCTCTGATGGAGACCATTCTGCCCTCTCTGTGCTGCTGTGAAGGATTAGGCGGGACAAGGTACGGGAATGGGCCTTGGAAATTGTCCCGTGCAGTGAAGGGTGTGTGGGAAGGAGTTGTGGGAGCAGAGGTAGGGAAGATCAGGGAGGGCCTCGAAGGTGGCTTTTGAGCAGGGCAGTGACACAGTCCAACCACACGCATTTCAGAGTAGATCCAGGAGCTGCAGTGCCCGTAAGCCAGAGTATGCCTTCAGGAAGCAGCAGCTTGGGGAGGGTGGGAAGGGGACAGGGTGGGCCATGCAGGGCCCCTGGGCCGGATGCATTCTCTTCTAAGGGTCTAGAGCCAGGAGGCTGTGGGTACCTCTGTTTTAACAAGATCACTGGCGTTCTCATGGCGGAAGCATCCATGGGCTCTGGCAGTAGCTGGGAACCAGCTCAGGGCTCTAGGTGAGGGTGATGGTGGCTGGGGCAAGGGAGACGGGCGTGGAGAGTGGGGCAGACTCCAGGCCTGTTTGGCCTCAGACTTGAGCACTGTTGGGTGGCTGGCTGGACAGGGGACGGGGTGTGAGCTGGAGGGATTCTCCTGGAGGCTTCCCAGGTTTCTTTCTGTAGCAACTTTGGCAGGGCCCTTTTCCAGCTGGGGGACAGGAGGAAGAAAAGGATTTTGCATGAAGATCACAATTGGCTTTTCACGAACCTGGAGTACTGATGAGCCTGCTGAGGGGAGGTGCCCGGTAGACGGTGGACGTGTGGAGGCAGGGCATGGTGACAGGCATGAACCTTGAAAGCCAGAGACCTCGCCTGGGCCAGGGGCCTGCAGCAGGCCACAAAGGCAGATAAGCAGGCAGACCCGGGGCACAGGGTGTCTGGAAGGAAAGAGAGGTCAGCTGTCAAGGGCTGAGGACAAGGCGGTGGCACCTGTGCCATGTCTTTCGGCTTTAGGGAGCCCTTGCCAGTGCTGCTTGGAAGGGCCTTGGTTGCTGAGGGCGCGAGGGCCGGAGGTGAGGGGCCGGAAGTGAGGCACCAAAGTGCGAGGAGTGATGTTTGTGGCCGTAGACTGCAGATGGCCTGGGGTAAGGGGCTAAAGGAGGTAGAGTGTTTTTTCAGTGGCAGAAACACAAGCCTTCAGAGAGGGAGAGGCTGCAGGGACAGGCGGTGGAGAATTGATGGGGTGAGGTAGAGACACCTAAGGCAGACCCCAACCTGCCAAGGGAGAGGGCGGCAAGTGGGGTTTGGGGGAAGGATTGAGGTCTTCACGGATTTTATCAGACACGGTGGTGTCTGATTTCTCTGTGAAGTGGCCGAGTGACGGGGCAAGGAGGAAGCAGGCGAGTTAAAACAGCAGCTGAGCCTGGCCTTGAGGTGTGGAGTGGCGTGGTGGCATGGACAGCTGGGGACCTGGAGACCAGGGAGCTGGAGCGGGGCATCTGTGGGCCCTGTCTGCCTCTGTGATGCCCCCTGTGGTAGCAGGGCTCCTGTTTCCTTTCTGGAACCTTTTCTCCTCTGCTTGGAACCTGTGGTTTGTGCTGCTGAGCCTACTCCATGGGGCTGAGGGGGGGCAGCATGGCAGCCTGGCCAGTCACAGTGCCACCCATGCTGCTGTCGCAGTGATTGGTGTGGGGCTAGTGTGACCCAAGGCGCCCCAGCCCTAGTACTGTAGGCGGGACTATTTGGGAAAGGGTTTTGACAAGATTTCCAGGAGCTGCTGGAAGCCACTTACCACCCCGGGGGTGATCCTGCCTGAGAAGGAAGCTGGCACAGGGAGCAGGGCCATGGGGCTGGGAGAGAGAGATTTCTGATGCCATCTGGACACCTGGGACCAGGCAGGCCTGAGGCCTGTGCACTTTGGACTCCTTAGTCACGTGAACCAATAAACATTTCCCTTCCTTTAAGCTAGTTGGGTTTTTGTCACTTGTCTTGTCACTGAACTCTAGTTGACATAGGGACCATGAATGGGAGGTGGTCCCCACTGGTGCCGGATCTGGCTAGGGGCAGACCCAGGGAAGGTGACCAGTTGGGGCCACTGGAGTGGAGGTCATGCCAAGTGGGTGTGAGGTGTGGGGGTGGAGAGGGAGAGATTTCTGGAATCTGGTGCTGGGGTCCACTCAAAAGGTGAGGTGCCAAAGTGGGAGGGCTCAGAGTGATGACTGGTGAGGTGAGGATGCCAGAGTATAGCTGCAGCCCCTCACTTCATACAGGTTCAAGGCCCCAAGAAGCCTGGGTTGGGCAGGGGGCGTGGGAGGAGATGCTGGGGCAGTTGGCCTGCACCTCTGTGCGGCCCATTGGTTCAGCCTTAAGGCAGAGAGCTTAAGCCAGGCCTGGAGTTCAAATCCTGACCCCTCCACTTACTAACCTCAGACAAGTTCCACAGCTTCTCTGTGCCTCAGTTTTCCCATCTGTAAATGGGGCTAGTTATTACTTATGTTAGTTGTAAGTACTATATAGTCATCCCTCGATATCCATGGAGAATTGGTTCCAGGACCCCCCATAGATACCAAAATCTGAGGATGCTCAAGTCTCAGGTTGGCCCTGTGGAATCTGTGGATATGAAAAGTTGGCTTTTCTCATCCATGGGTTCCACATCCCATGAATACTGTATTTTCAATCTAAGGTTGATTAAATCCGAGGTTGGTTAAATCCGTGGATATGGAGAGCCAACTGCTATATCACTAGTTATACCTGTCTGAGGGCAAAGCTTGTTGATGTTGTAACAAACCCCAAGCATACAGGCTCAAGTGCAATGGGAGCTTGTATCTTGCTCACATAAGGTTGATAATGGGATTTATCTGATCAGTGGGTGGCCCTTCTCCAAGGACTTCAAGGCCTCAGCTCTGTGGCCCCACCACCCTCAGCCCATGACTTTTAAGGTCACTGTGGAAGGGGAAAGCTTAGAGCCTAAGGAGGGATTTTTTGTTTGTTTTTGTGTTTTTGGTTTTTGTTATTTTTTTTTTTGAGACAGAGTCTCACTCTGTTGCCTGAGCTAGAGTGCAGTAGCGTCAGCCTAGCTCATGGCAACCTCAAACTCCTGGGCTCAAGTGATCCTTCTGCCTCAGCCTCCTAAGTAGCTAGGATTACAGGCATGCGCCACCATGCCTGGCTAATTTTTTCTATATATATATTTTAGTTGGCCAATTAATTTCTTTCTATTTACAGTAGAGACGGGGTCTCGCTCTTGCTCAGGCCAGTTTCGAACTCTGACCTTGAGTGATCCACCCGTCTCTGCCTCCCAGAGTGCTAGGATTACAGTTGTAAGCCACCTCACCCGGCCCATTGGCAGTTTCTTATTGGGTTATTAACATGCGTGCTTTCCCTGTGACCCAGCAGTTCCACTCCTAGGCATCTACCCCAGGGGTGAGGGCATATATCCCCCAAAGATACGAATTAATACAAGAGTGTTTTGTAGCCCCAAACTGGAAATAGCCCAAATGCCCGTCAACAAGAGCATGAATAAGTGGTAGAATATTGTACAACACAACAGCAGCAAAAAGAACAAACCACTGTGACATTCAACAACACAGGTAAATCATGTAGACATTATGTTGAGCAAGAGAAGCCAAACAGAGTACACACTGATACGATTCATTTAAGCAAACTTCAGGGATTGGCAGAACTAATGAATGGTGATGGAGGTCAATATAATGGTTACCTAAGGGGTGTGGATTGGCTGGGAGCGGGGACAAGGGAGCATTCTGGTAAGGTAGCTTGAACTGGGTGGTGGTTATGTATAAAACTACATTGGGCTGTACACTTCAGATTTATGGACTCTTATGATATCTCATAAAAATTGTATTTGTTTAACCCATATCTATCTACCTACCTATCAAGATCCTTTTGCTCACCAGGTACTGTTCTAGGTAGTGGTGATTATGTGGACAAAATGTCCTTGGAGTTTATCTCGGAATGGGAGACAGACCATAAAGAAGAAAAGGAGCACGTCTGATGGTGACACGCGCTCCAGAGAAATAAAGCATGATAAGGGAGGAGTGGGCAGTCCAGGGGTAGCCTGATGTTCTGTAGTGGGTCCAGGGAGGACACTGAGAAGGTGAGATTTGAGTAGAGAACCCCAGTGAGGAGGAGGTGGGCCTTGGAGCTATCCGTGGGGAGAGGGCTCTGGGTGGAGGGCACAGCCAGGACAGGCAGAAAGGGTTAGATTTGGTGCTGTCAGGCTTCCCTATGGTCTTCCTGCCTCCCATTTCCTCAGCCACCACTCAGGGCCTGACTCAGGAGCCACCTGCCCTGGACTCGGCCCTCCTTGGCTGGCCTTCGTGACACTGGCAGGGCCCCAGAAGCTTTGTGGAGGGGGAGAAGGTGGTGGCATGGGGTTCTTGCCACACACCTGCCCTGGGTGCTGCTTGACTTGGAGGCTCCAGAGGCCGGGGAGGAGGCAGAGAAGGAAAGAGAGTTGAGTGACTGAGTGACCTTGCCTGCCCTCCCCTGGCCCTCTCCTCTGGCCTGGAGGACAGAGATCTGACGCGCTGTATGACCTGTTGATTTCTCTTCACCTTTCCTGGTTTTGCCTTCCACATCCCTCAAACGGGGTGATTGACAGCGCCCTTTGTGGTTGATGGGAGGCTGAATGTTGCAGCAGTTCATTCCCCTGTGCTTGTTAGATGTGAGTCTTTCTCTGGGGAAGGTGTCCTCATACCCCCACTTTACAGATGAGGAGACTGAGGCTCTAGAAGTGAGGGGAGTGGCTGGGAG